CATGAACCTGCACATCCCACCGCCACACAGAAATAAACCCAAGACCATCAGAGCCTCCTTCAACACTGCCAAGCTGAAGGACGAGTCCTACCTCGCCAAGTTCCAACAGACTCTCGACGAAAAATTTCAGGAGGGCCCACCCCCTGAGAGTGATAGCACCGGGAAATGGTCTGCCTTCAAGACCATCGTCTCCGAGACGGCGAAGGAGGTGCTCGGCCCGAAAGCAAGGTCTCACCAAGACTGGTTTGATGAGAATGAGGAAGCTATCCAAACCGCCCTCTCTGCCAAGAACAAAGCCTACACCGAATGGCAGAACGATCCCATTTCAGTGCCCAAAAAAGCGAGGTTTAAGTCCCTCCGGGCGAAGGTGCAGGCTGAGCTGCGAGAGATGCAGGACAAGTGGTGGCAGGCGAAAGCCGAAGAGGTCCAGATGTACGCTGACACCCATAATACCAAGAAATTCTTCAGCTCCCTGAAGACAGTCTATGGCCCCTCGACCTCGGTATGCTCACCACTGCTGTCCTCGGACGGTGCAACCCTGATCAAGGACCAGGCAGGGCTCCAAGAACGCTGGAAGGAACACTTCAGCACCCTACTCAATAGACCGTCAACCGTGGACCCGGCCGCGCTTCACCAGATTCCACAGCAACCTGCAGTGGAGGAACTCGACTCTCCCCCCACAATGACAGAGATTAAGAAGGCGATCCGCCAGACCAGCTCCGGCAAAGCGTCAGGGAAGGACAGCATACCTGCAGAGATCTACAAAGCACTAGGCCCCAACGCCCTTGAAGCCTTCCACAATATTCTGCAGAGTGTGTGGGACGAGGAGAAGATGCCGGATGACTTCCGTGATGCCCTCATAGTCTCCTTGTACAAAAACAAGGGTAGCAGGGCGGACTGCGGCAACTACAGGGGCATCTCGCTTCTCTCCATTGCCGGGAAAATCTTTGCAAGGGTCATCCTCAACAGGCTGGTCACCGTCTCTGAGCGAATTCTTCCCGAAGCACAGTGTGGCTTTAGATACGACAGAAGCACGGTAGACATGATTTTTGCTGTGAGACAACTACAGGAAAAGTGTACAGAACAGAACAGGCCCTTCTATTCAGTGTTCATTGACCTGACCAAGGCGTTCGACACGGTCAACAGAGAAGCTCTCTGGACTGTGCTTGAACGCATTGGATGCCCGAAGAAGTTCATCAAAGTGATACGGCTCTTTCACGACGGCATGACCGGTCAGGTCCTCACTAGCGGCGAAGTGACCGAAGAGTTCGCAATCAGCAATGGTGTGAAACAGGGCTGCGTCTTGGCGCCGGTCCTGTTTAACATCTTTTTCGCCCACATGCTATCCCACGCCGACCAAGACCTGGAGAAAGGAGTCTCCATCCGCTATCGCCTGGATGGCTCCCTCTTCAACCTCCGTCGCCTCACCGCCAAAACCAAGTGTCGTTACGACCTCATCCAAGAAGCGCTTTTTGCCGATGACTGCGCACTGATGGCCCACACAGACTCCGACCTGCAGCTCATGCTGGACCGCTTCTCAGAAGCCTGCAAGCTGTTTGGCCTGACAATCAGCCTCAGCAAGACCGAAGTGCTCCACCAGCCTGCCTTAAACAACGACTCCCCTCCTCCAACCATCACCATCGATGGCACCCGGCTCTCCAACATCCAGAGCTTCAGGTACCTGGGTAGCATCATCTCACACGATGGCTCCCTTGATGAGGAGATCAACACCCGCATCAGCAAAGCAAGCCAAGCGCTAGGGAGGCTCCGCAACAGAGTCCTGAACCAGCACAACATACGTCTGATGACCAAACTAAAAGTTTACAATGCCGTGGTTCTCCCCTCTCTCCTCTATGGATGTGAATCTTGGACACTATATCGCAGGCACATCAAAAAGCTGGAGAGCTTCCACATGCGTGCTCTCCGCTCCATCCTTGGTATCCAGTGGCATGACCGCATCACAAACCTCGAGGTTCTCGACCGTGCAAAGTCTAACAGCATAGAATCAGTGCTCATCAAGGCCCAGCTGAGATGGGTGGGGCACGTCATTCGCATGGAGGAACACCGGATGCCAAGACACCTGCTGTACGGCGAATTGGCGTGCGGCAGACGAAAGCAGGGCAGGCCCAAGAAGAGGTTCAAGGACTGCATCAAATCCAACCTCCGGATGTGCGACATACATCCTAAGGACCTTGAGTCCCACGCCAGTAATAGACCACTTTGGCGATCGCTTGTGCACAAGGCCAGCTCCAGGTTCGAGGAGGCCCGTCGACAACATCTGATTGCAGCGAGGGAAAAACGCCACCAGCGAGACAACCGGCCGACAACAACGACAACGACTGACTTCCAATGCCCCCATTGCTCCAGACTCTGTCAATCCAGCTTCGGATTGCGGAGCCATCTTCGAGTTCATCGAGTTGCCTAACTATGACGTCTTCTTCGGATCCGAAGGACCACCATTATTATTATTCATAAATTCCGCGAATTCGTATCCCGTTCCCCGACATTATATTAGGGACCGTTAGAAATGGTCACGAGAGGGATGCATATGCGGCTCGGGGGGGGGGGGGGGCGGGATTAAATCACCATTTACGTGGTTATTTCATCTGGTGCGCTATGGGCAATGTGCAATTTACGTCAAAGTGTTAAAAAATATATGAATCTCGTGAAATACATGGTAACCACAGAATGGTGATGTAGTCAGCTATTTTCTCGAGCCGCATACGTATCCTGCACGCGTACCATTTCTAATGGTTCCTATAACCATATTTGTACGAGATAGCTCGTTTGAACGATTAATATAAGGATCTCGTTGAAACCAGAAAGTTATACTGTCGTCTAAAAGTTATGACTTTGTCGTTCAAACGACTTAGCTATGTTTATAAACGACTTAAAATCACTTTATTTTCACGTTGGCAGCAACACGCTTCCCTTTATATAAAATTACCCATTTATTCAATGGAATCAACATTGCAAGGTAATGCGTCCCCCCGATATAGAGGGCTATAGAGGGCGCCATTCCCGATGTAGGCAAAGCATATGGCAATTTGCCAATTACCAGCCTTCGCATTTGAATTTCACACAGGTTAAGTATCCTCGATCCTCCTATTTCTGCGCAGATAAGGCTTTTGCAACCCAGTAGCTTAAAAATAGCAAAGCAACCACTCTTTTCCTCAACAAAAAATTATATTATTGGCTTACGATCATCCACCGTACCGATTAACAAAGCGAAATCTCTTTATTTGTGGCAAGCGGGGAATTCAAAAGCGTGCAGTTTTGGCCTTGTAGAAAAGAATCCTGCCTAATTCTGCGCAGGGGACGCTTCATGAAAAATATGTGCTGTCCGGGCCATGTAACTCAATATAAACATTTTTTTTTACCAACTTATAGACTTGTTGGCTTTAGGAAAATATATTTCCTGAGCTTTTGAAACATATTTTCTTGCTTTTCCTTTCTTTTTTCAATGCCAATACACTTTCCGTAATTTCATGATTATTTTCAATATCCCATTTCGGAGATTTATACAAAGGCCTATATTTACATAAATAGATTTTATACATATTTACCTATTAAATGTAGATCCCAATGATATTGTTATTCTGATCATCCCAATCAACAGAGACAGTTTTTAAGATGTCGGATTTTAAAACTTATGACCAAAACAATTCTAAAATAATATAAGAAATGTGTCTTTTTAGTTGCACTGTAAGTTTTACACCCTTGTAGAAACTGCAAATTCTTATCTATGACATCTTAAAGCTATAGTCCATCATTTGTAATTTGTGCATTTTGTTCGTTTGAAGCAACAAAAGAGTTCAAAATCTAATAAAGGATACTAAGCAACTAACCTGATAAAGTTTCAGCTAAGCTTCAGCTGTACATTCCGAGAAAAACAGCATTCTAAGATCTCAATTTCAAATCAAAAGTTACTGAATCATGTTTTGAATTGCAGCTATACGCGACGTCGCTCACTGATCCGACGAATTATAACAACCGCGCGCGCGTGTGCGTCGTTCCAATACTTGCGCGCGCTGCGCTGAATAACAAAACGAACTACTAATTTAAATTTTCCTACGGTGCTTCTTAAGAATCACCGTTGGAAATGCCTTCTTTCGTTGATTACTTCAAAATGACAGCTTCCCAGAAAGAATAATTTCACAGGGAGTTTAGTTCCCTTACTATCTTTCAACTAAGTTTGTTTTTCAACAATAATTACGCCAGTTACTTTTCGGATGGCTGCAAATGATGGACTATAATACTGACGATATTGGGAGACCAAGAAATGCCACCTTCCGGTCATATTTTCGACTTCTGCAGGCCCGGAAGCATCTGCCTGCATTTGTACTTAGTAATAAGCTGTCAAATGCCGATGTTTTTCCTTTTTTTTGCCTGAATTCCCAGTAAAGCCTTTTATAGTTTCCACATTTTTTTCGGCTGCTGGTTAAAGTTTGTGCATCAAAAGATACGATCCCAGTGAAGGTTTGTCATTTTTTAGGATGCACGCCTTGCCAAATATAACTTGAAGGCGAGTGCGCAGAAATAGGAGCGCGTAGCTGTAGGAGGTCTGACGGATACATTAGGATCAACGCGATCCGAGACCAGAAAGTTCGTACAAAATTACTTTCAACAGATTCCGAAAGCAAACATTTTCAACCTAGGCCTAGTTTATATACTTTGACAATTATTTATTTACATCACGAAACTTGTATTAAAACAAAATATTGCAGTATAGTAGCAGATCTAGAGGGGGTGTTGGGGATGCAACCCCTCCGTTCAGCCGCTGACTTATGTTATGATACTAGTCAAATGGGGCCAAATATAATACATGGGAATGCTAAAGTTCCTGAATGTATTCTTTAATTGCCATAGAATGCATTAGGCCTATACAAAGCACGTAGATTTATAAAACATGTCCATGGGTGGGAGGCATGTCCCCGGAACCCCTAGCAGTGCGTGCCTTCGACTCAACAACCCCCACCGACCCCACCCCCACCCCCGTTTTTATATCAACAACCCCGTTTTCTGAAAGCTAGATCCGGCCCTATTACCGCCACATTATAAATGCTTCTATACTGAATACGTTTATTGTACAGGTTCCCATGTTACTTCAGCACGTGTGTCATTCAAATTAAAAGGACAAATACTTTGATTTCCGTAATTGGGCTGCATTGTTAATTTCAATTTCGAATAAAAGATTTGCATTATGGTGCCGTGTATACATGGCACCATAATGCAAATCTATAGTGCAGGATGGTAGAATCCTATTTTCGTCCAAGTTCTATGGAATTCGTCTCATTCAACCCCACATGAGACGAATTTCCCAAAACTAAGATGAATTCGAACGCTAGATTCGTGAATAACACTGCACACACACAAAAAAACATTTTTGGCGCAATTTTAAATTTGAAATTAACAGTGGCGCCTGACGACTATTTTGAACGAAATTAAAGTACAGTCCGTAGAAGCTAAATGATACGTGTGTTGAAGTAGCCGGGAAATTTTACTTTAATCGACTCGGTTTGTAAATGCTTCTATGTTTATACTTTGTTTTTCCCTTACTAAAATTAACTGTTTAATTAATTAAGTTATATATTATGGTATCGAACACCATGCAAGATAATAGCCTGCAGTGCACACATCTTTCTGCAGAAAATTAAAATGCGAGATAATATGCAACGAAATATGCGTTTTGAACAGACACACTTTTTGACGAAAAAAAAATTGCCTCAAGAGTTTAAAGTAGACTTGCAACTATACCTACTTCAACTACAAACGAGACAACAAACTGTTCGATTTTCTTTGCCCCTTACGCACTTTCAACGTTTTATTATAGCGCCACCTTGTTTCTGTTGTTGTTGTTTTTGCGTCTGCAACTCGCACCTCTGCGAGTAGACTGGTTTTCTGTCCTTACAGATATTGTAGGCATGCCAGTTGCAAACCTAAAAAAAAAAATTGACCATCGTTGGAAAAAAAATTCTTCAAATACTGCCACCAATTTACCAAATTTAGAGGGTCCACATTTGGTTTGTAATCGGTAATACACATCCGTGAACGGGTGCAAGCCAGGCTAGCCAGCTAGTCTGGTTCCCTGACCTGACAATTCCCCGACGTCTATGAATTGCACCGTTTCGTCTGAAGTAGGGTCGGGGAACCAGACTACAAGAAAAGCATTTTTTCTTGTTTTCTTTTCAGCATCTACGAACACAAAACTTTAAACAGGTCAGTGTAACAATATTTTCTATAAAATCTATTCATTTCTGACAATTAGGCCTACCGAAAAAGCAATGTTGTAAACTATATTCCCTTTAACTTATCGAATATGACGAGAGCGGGAACCAGTCTACCCTGCAAAAACTGTTGTCGATCAGCAAATAATTCGAAGTTTGCAATATTAAATTTAAACTTTTAAATTTCTAGAAAATAACAAAATAAAATCGGGCGGTGAAACTCGAAAATAGCTCGGAGAGAACATTCTTTTAAAATTGCTTCTCAATTAGACAACAAAATGTGACATTTTTACTCATAACAATTGCTTGTAACTTACGATTCCTTCGTCTGAATCCGATTTTCAATAGCCGACGCGAGTCGGCCTGATTTTCATCTGCACCTTTGCCATAGAGTCGTCCTGCCCAAGCCAGGAGCTCCATATGATCCCTTGGCCGTTGGTGCTGAGGTATCCGGGGCTAGTCACGTACGGCCCGTTCAGGTTGGACGTCTGGCAGTTGTTATACCACCAGGCTCCTTGCATGGCCTCGGCACAGTGACGGGCGTCATTGTCGTTGTCTCGGTCCAACGTTGACCATGGCATTCCGTTGTGGGTGCCAGTCAACGAATCACCTGGGGGGGGGGGGGGTGGGGGAGGCCGGTGTCAATCTATATTTTAAAGAACAAGCTAGCTTATTTTTTGGAGGTACACGGGCGTTAATATCATTGAACATTTTCAGTGTGGGATAAGCGGTTTGCAGAAGGTCACTACGTATTGAAAAAAATGGTGGGTAACGAGGTTGTAAAAACTCGTTTGTTCAGTTCTGTATGCTAAAACGCTTCTAAGAACTATACTGTATTTTTTTGGGCATAAAAAAGCAGAATGAGGATTTAGTGCGGCCCTACTTATGCTCAGTGTTTATCCCGAGGTGAAAATATAGTACGAAAATGGGATACCGAAATGGGCTTATAAGATTAAAAGAGGAACTTTCCCTTCCCGAATGCTAGGCGTGGCGCATAGAAAACTGGAATTCCAACTAGTCGTATGAGTATTGTTACCTTCCCATGTGATTGGACCACTCACAGCATGACATTAGTTTAACTGGACGTTGGAAGTTGCTTTGTTTTTTATTTCAGTCACAGTATGTTTTATTTCTCAAGGACTATTACAAAAACATTTACTTATCCATAAAACTGGATGTCTCTTACCTGCGTTACCATGATATCCACTGATTGTCAAACGGTAATTGTCCGCTTCGTCGCTGATTCGAAACTCACTGTACCTAAACAATAAACGTAACATCAAAAATATAGCTGAGAATGTAGACTAAGTTAGGTGATCGGTTTGGTTGTTACGTGGCGGATTTTTACATGCATAGCTTTAGTAGAGGTGGTCTGTGGCTGGAGACATGCTGGTCTTACCACATACGGCATCGATGCCGACACTGTGGGCCTATTTTTTTTCTAGAAATTAATAATAATAATAATAATAATAATTATAATAATTACCGGCAATAGGGAGTAGGGGTAATAGGGAGACTTTCCCATAGACTTGTGCACACAAATTTTCCGACTTAAGAGTGCCCTAACCCGATATTCCCTTGTCCCTTTTCCACGAATTTCGGTATTTTTACTAATTAGACCACGAGCAACAAATATAACCTAATTTCGACAGCAAAAATTTTCCTCTAAAGAGGGCTGCGCCAATAGGGAGACACCTAGGTATCTCCCTATTAAGCCCGTGTCTCCCTACTATCGAAATTTCTACGCTAATGTGTCTCCCTAATGGTACATTTAGTAATATAATACCAAGCGTTTGTATGGCGCTCTACAACGATCACAGCGCCTCACAACAAACAGCTTAAACAGTTACAGAAAATTACAAAGAAACCATGTACAAAAAAACAACAACAAATATTATGCATTGGGAAATAAGTGTGTTTTGAGTAGGAGTGGAGTGTCCTGCGATCTTCAGATCCATTCAAGTTGTACAGGGTGAGGCTGTCAGTGATGTAACTTGGGGATTGACCATGGGAAGATGTATATACGTACAACATAATTTTGAACATGATCCTTTCTTTGACGGGGAGCCAGTGAAGTAAGCGGAGTAAGTGATCTGATGAGCTTTCTATACCGCATGAAAATACAAGACGCGCAGCTTTGTTTTGAAAACGCTGTACACGTCTAATATCGACTTCCCTGGCACCGTACATCAGTGTGTTGCCATAGTCAATACGAGAAAGGACCAAAGATCTGACAGCACTATGGCATGAATCTTGAGTGAGGAACCGCCGAATCCGCCACAGATTACGGATATGAAAATTTACACTTCTACAAATTGCATTAATGTGATTTGTCATGGTTAGTGCTGAGTCAAGTATGACCCCTAGATTCTTTACAGTGGTGGATGGATTAATGCAGATATCTCCAAGTTTTGACTGAAGATGTGGTAATGTGTTGACGACCTTCGGGGAAGCAAACACGAAGAATTCGGTTTTGTCTTGATTAAGAAGCAACCTGTTATGAACCATCTAAGTATTGATCCGAGAAATACAAGTGGAAAGCATGGTTAATGCACGATCAGAATCACCAGCAACCTTTGGATCAAATTCTGTATAGAGCTGGGTATCGTCTGCATAAACGTGAAAATTTAGATTGTGCTCTCTGATGATATCACCAACTGGATGGGTGTACATAGTGAAGCACTGAGGGCCTATTACAGAGCCCTGGGGTACTGAAAATCTCATAACAAATTAACTTGTGAACACTGTAAAAACGTTGGGTAAAATACTGTTGGGCAATGTAATTTACCCAACATTGGTATGAAATTACCTCATATTGGGTTGAATTGGGTAAAAACTGTCAAACTATTGGGAAGAATTTGCCCAAGAGTGTAGGCAGTTGATAATTCGACCAGCACTGGTCGAATTATCAACCCATTTTGCCCAACTTTTTTACAGTGTATAAGAATAGACAATACGAAAGATATTAGCCAAATACGTGGAAATAGTTTCGGTGTCAGATCTAAATTTCAAAGAGAAATATTATTAAAAAGAGCATGGCACTCATTTCAAAATGGTCTGGCACCTTGCTATTGTGTAAAGGCACGCTCGTTGTATGCGTGTTCGGGTAAATAATTCAGACAGGGGACGCGATACAAAATGGCCAGCTTGTGAATAAAAAGGTTCATCCTACCTGGCGTATCCGAGGACGTCCTGCCAGCTAACGGCGACGATGCGAATCTGATACGCATCTTGATTGGTCAGTAGGTAAATGTCATCCAGGCCGAGCCAGAAATCCGAGACGGTGTCCACGGTGCCAAAGCCGGCCTTGTAGTCGGCCCAGCCACGGTAAAAGTTTAAATCGCCAATCACGCGCTTCTGAAGCGTCTGAAAGCAAAAAAAGGCGCATCCAAGACAATCATGGTCAAAAATTGATACCTGTGTTGCGATTTCCGGGTACTCGAGCGTCCAATCTGATTGTATGGTACTGCCATAGGGAAGATTCAGGGTTGCAAAAGCATATCGACTACACAAGCAATGATCGCACATCGGTTTTTTACTTTCGCAAATACAACACGAGAAATACGACCTTGACATTAAACAAAATAGTCGTTTCTCTTTTTTGTATACTTAACTGCATTTTAATTGCGATAAGCAAATCGAAAATTCATTTAAATGTTCATCAATCGATGGTATCCTATTTGTTTTCCGCAAAAAACCCATATTTTCACAAGATATGAAAGAAAGTGGACTGAGAAACTGACTTTTAAGTTAAATTAGATGTACTAATTGGTAGAACAAGTGCAAAGCTTCTGGAATTGTATCGGTCGTTGTGCATGTTTACTTGCCGCATATCCACTCATAAGCCTCGTTAAGAAGTTCATAAAATAATAAAAGCAGGGCTTGTTAAGAAAAAATTATTTAAGAAATAAAAATTAAAAGACCTTATGTTGTCTATTAATCTATTCTTTATTATAGCGAGAATTTTAAACTTTAAATCCCATTTTTTTTTTTTTTTTAAATGAGTTACTATATAGGTTTTCCCGGCTATTTTAAAACATTTATCATTCGAGTTCGCCGACTCTTTTATATTTAAATTCGTCCGGCAAAATCAATTTAGTACACCTCTAATGTTTAATTTCGTCCTTCATGGCTTCATCACACAATTTCAATTTTAGTTGAAGCAAATTCAAACCACGAGCACGCATGTTTGTCAAGGAGTATTCGATTTCGTGTCGTCCTCGCCGAACCGTGTTATTCAGAATTTCATCGTAATTTTGTTCAATATTGTCTTACTTCATTGTGACATCTTCAATATGAAGGCACATAGGCCGCTGATTGTACACTCTTTCTTTTTCTTTCCATGTTATTTTGAATTTAGTGTTTGTTTCCAATTTTATTTTAGGCACAAACAAAATATATTAAATGTCATCGTAGTTTCTAACAGCTTTCATTTTAACACTTATTTTATTTTATTTTATTCGTTTCTAGATTGAAAGGTATTTTATGTTTTGTTGTTCTAGGTAATCTTTACACGTTTCTTTTGGTAACTATTCTCTGAGTTCTATACACCTATAGTCTGATGACATGCGAATGAAAGTGCCGAATTGTGCTTAAGTGCGCAAGGAAAATGCTTAAAGCACAAACCAGACTAGTTTCTGAATGCTGCAACAGCTGTATTGACAATATTTTTGACCTAGTGCTTAAACAATGACTAATAAAATGACAAAATTATTCTTGGACGAATTTGAATATAAAAATCGGTGAATCGAAACGTTATAGCCTGGAAAACATACAGAAGGCATCTTTATTTTGACTGCCACAGCATGTCAAGTATTACAATGTGATTAGAAGCAGTATGTCAGCCTAATAGTTGATGACAGAACCGATGTACAGTTTCTGTTTCTGTTAAGCCATACATGTACGTACTGATTATAAGTCTACGTACGGGCTATAAGTCGTACGTATACGGGTTACGTAAGTACGAGTATTATGTCGTACATTCGGGTTATAAGCCGAATATATGGGGTTATTATTATAGGCATACGCATGGGTTATAAGATGTACGTGCGGGTTATAAACCGTACGTACTGATTTCTAAGTCCTATGTGCGGGCCATAAGTCGTACGTACGGGTTATAAAACATAAGTACGGATTATACGTCGTACGTACGGGTTATACGTACGGGTTGCAAGTCGTGCATACGGGTTATAATCACCGTGTGCCTAATACAGCTTCGTACTCAGGCTTCACACCCTCTGCTTTTATGGGAACAGAGCAAAACAAAGCGTACCGTCCATCCGCCTCCATCGAAGTCCATGTCACAGAGCACGTTTAGACCTTGGGACCTGCCCGTCACATGGATGGTATATACACCGGTGGTCAAGCTACCACTCTCGTAAATATCCCAGCAATCTTTGGGGACTGGCTGAGCTGTGCAATGGAGAAATTATTGAAAATGCAGGCAACTTAAATTTACCTCACATGAGGGTATGGTTCCTAGCTAAATACTTGACTGATGCCAAACATACGGGAAAGCTATTACTTGCACAAACAAATCAAACCATCTCTGTTTTCCTCCTCCGTGTGCATTAAAAAAATATATATATATATGTATTTCTTTTGCGCATATTCTTGCAAAACAATGAGTTCTAAAGCTTGTAAGTGCCGTTCCCAAGTTTTATATCACCCAACTTATCTAATACTAAAGTCGCAAGTTTACATCCCGCATCAGTAATTTTGTGGTTTATTTGAAAATCTAGACTCACGCAAAACTCATGTTGTCAATCTATCAGGTAAGAAGACTCAGACATGTGTGGACACCGCCAACACGATACGCTGGATAGCTCAGTTGGTATGACACCGGGACAGTTTTTTTGGTGGTCAAATATTCAAATTCTGTCACAGTTAGTTCTATTTTATTCAGTCTAGCGCTGATTAAAAAAAAAAACAAGGAACAGCAAAGAATAACTTTATCCTGGTTTTACCGCTCATTGGTCGGATCTTCATCTCGGTGAATTTCAGCGAATCGTCTTGTCCGAGCCAGGACCCCCAGGTAATCCCAACGCCCAGGCCAGGCACGCTGGCGCTGCTCTGGTACGGTCCGTTCAGATTGGACTGGCAGCAGGCGTTAAACCACCAGGCCGACTGCAGCGCCTGGGCACACTGCCGGGACACGTCATTGTCGTTGTCTGCGTCTCTTGTCGTGAAGGCCTGGCCGCTGTGGTACGACATCGAGTCACCTGTATTCATCACAGAACCATTTCTGTTATTACATAAGAACCTAAACGTTTGGGATGACTCCTTATAAATACAACTTGAAAGGTTTCTAGACGAATTTACTAAAACAAATTGAACAAAAACAAACGGAATATTGTCCGCTTTGAACCCCCCCCTACACACACACACTCACACCCATGTTTGTTTTACATACGTTATGTGGACATTTTTTTTAAACTTCCTTCAATGTTTCTCTTCATTCTACGACAGATAACCCTAACCCGAAAATGCCTCTAAACCTGTTTTCCAGAGAGGGCGAAACGTTATGTGGACACGGCTTAGTCCACATAACGTCAACACAACCTGCATTATGCGGACATCTTTTGTTCACATGTCCACATAGTGACTGTAAGACAAACTCACACACACACACCCAAGTGTGTCTTTACCTTCAATCGTGGACCCCCTATTGTCTCTCTTTTGTTTGTACACTAACTTTTTAGGAACACCTCCTATATGTTTTGTACACGATCATCAATTGTGGACCCTATTGTCCTCTATACAATTGTTTAACGTCCCCTATTGAATGCAAAAAACAAACCCAATTTGTTTATGGTGTAAATCGAGGATTTTATAGCGTTCCTTGTCATCGATCTTTTGTACAGTAACTTTTTTGCAACAGCTCCCATTGGTTTTGTACACGTTTGATAATCGGGGTCGTCCTCGATTTGACTCCTGTCCTCAATTACTCGATGATGCTTCACATTACGTGTGTCCTCGATCTACCCCACAAACATGTACAGGCCTACCTTACATATACCTAGTCAAGTGTAAACATTCCTTTGTCTTCGTGTATTATTATTATTATTATTATTATTATTTATTCGGCCAAATTACAAGGTACAACAAGCAATCCACAAAAGTAAACAAAACTAAACAAAAACAATCCAATCCAAGCTGGCCAGGATTGACAAAAGTATAATAAAACACTGTGACTCGAAAGCCTGTCAATCCTAACTTGAATGGAACATGTAACATACAAAATATATTAAAAATTAGGTATAAAATTCAATGAAAAATAAGACCGCCTAATATAGGTTTTCCCGGTTATTTTAATACTTGTTTCACAAGAATTCCCTATATAAATACTTTAATTTCGTCCCCGAACATCGCCAAGCTCACTTCTCAATTTGAATTTCAAAAAGCCACCACTAGTTTTCATTTAAGGTTCAGTATAATTCACATTTTTAGCATACCGATTCGTCCTAAATTTTTGAAATTCGTCTCGTGTAGCAATCGGCGTTGAATTGACAAAGCAAATTCGTTTTTTGTCATTAACTTTAACGTTTTGGTCATTTAAATTCTGATCGTGCATTCTCCGCATTTTCTAGACCATGGAGGCCTATAAATTTCGGAGTATTTCTGATTTGTCTTGTCACTCGTTGTTGAGACTCGGTCGGGGAAAAAAGATGGCTGCCAATGGAGGGCTTCAAAGAGGCCGATACAATAAGGTTTCAAACGCAGACAGAGGTCGCATCATAGACGCCTTCGAAGGAGATGAACACGACTATCTGACCGTTGCTGACACCCTTGGCGTGAAGCGCCAAACTGCTCGCAGCATCGTCTTAACATACCTTCGTGAGAACAGAAGAGATGCTCTACCAAGAGGAGGGAGAAGACGTTCAAAAACGGATCAAGAAATGAAGGATTGCCTTCAACAGTTACTAGATGAAAACCCCTTGTTAACCTTGGGCCAACTAAATGAAGGACTTCGACAAAGGCTGCCTGACAAGCCACGTATTGCAATAAGTACATTAGCGCGGACTATAGACGGCATGTTGATCACGCTCAAGCTAGCTCAGGATGTACCCGAAGCCCGCAATGCTGACAGAGTGATCCGACAGCGGCAAGAATATGCCAACTGGTTCTTAAGACATGGCGTCGTTGATCACTGTATCTTCATCGATGAATGCGGATACAACATTTGGACGCGACGTTCATATGGGAGAGCAGTTAGAGGACACCTGTTCGCAGAGTGGTGCACAACCAACGTGGAAACAACTGCAACGTTACATTTGCCATATCTCCTGAAGTCGGACTTGTCCATCATGCCATAAACTTGCACACCACAACACGTGCGTCATTTGAAAACTTCCTGCAGGAAACAGCTGAAGCCTGCCAGGAAATGTTTCCACAAGAAGAGAACTTGTACTTCATCTACGACAACGCAAGGCCTCATGTTCGTACTGAACTGCCACCAGGGAATGAGAACATTGAACTGAAGCGACTTCCCCCATACTCCCCATTTCTCAACCCTGTTGAAAATGCACACTCCTGCTTCAAAGCTGGTGTAAAAAGACTCATAGGATTTCCCGAATGGCAAGCAAGGGTATCTGACCACCAGGCTGCTGCGAGAGAAGGCTTGACCATGCAGGGATGGAGAGCACGCCTACTGGTGGAAGCAGCTCAGCAGAATGTGGATGAGATAACACCCGACAAGTGCCAGAGATGGTACAATCACTCCCAGACGTACCTACCAAGATGCATGGCCAGAGAGGAGATTGAAGGCTAAAAAATGACATTATGAAGCTAACGTTTAATGTCACATTTCTCAGTTTCGTGTTACAATGCAAATACTGATAAAATAAAAAAACATTACATTTTCCTTTTCCCCTATATAATTATATAATGCGTAAAACCACAGAAGTTAGGTTTGTATATCAAAGAGCAACAACGAAGGTGTTTGATCTTAATGCTTAATTTTCATGTCATAAGTAAAGAACATTAATGTGAAAGGTATAGTCCTGATTCTAATGTTAATTGTGAAACACAGAAAAAAATATTATAAAATTATAGTTTGACTACTTTTATTTACTCATATAAGGAAATATATGTTGAAATTATAATTTTAGTAATGCGTACACTTCTTCAAATAAGTCCAAAGATTGGACACATTTTCTAATCGTAACGTTTTAATTCACTAGAAACGAAAGGTAATGACAGCAACATTAAAACGAATGACATAAAACGAATTTGCTTTGTCAATTCAACGCAAATTGCTACACGAGACGAATTTCAAAGATTTTGGACGAATCGGTATGCTAAAAAATTGAATTATACTGAACCTTAAATGAAATCTAGTGGTGGCTTTTTGAAATTCAAATTGAGAAGTGAGCTTGGCGATGTTCGGGGACGAAATTAAAGTATCTATATAGGGAATTCGTGTGATACAAGTATTAAAATAACCGGGAAAACCTATACTTAAAAAGATAAATAGATTTAAAAGATTAACAGTTACAACAGTTTTCTCAAAGGCAAGAATAGCTGGCACAAAAACCAACTGCAGATTATACAAGACTGGGGAAAACAGACAAACAAGCCAAAACAAAACTAACAACACAACAACAACAACAACAACAACAACAACAACAAACAAACAAACAAACACCCCAACAAACAAAGAAACAAAACAAGACAGGATAAGACTAAACAAAATGAAACAAAACAAGTCAAGACAAGAGACAAGACAAGACAAAACGAAACGAAACAAAACAAGACAAGACAAGACAAGACGAGATAAGACAAGACAACAACAACCACACAACAACATAAAAACACGGAACGAAAGATTGATACAGTAAACAAAATAATTTAAAATGAAATAAAAAATAAATAATAAGCAATAAAAACCTGATAGAGAAAAGTAAAAAATACAGTTGACATGCGAGAAAAACTACGTCAAAAAAAACAAAAACAAAATCCATCCAATGAACAAGAAAAGCAACAACAAAAGCAGCAATAACAAAATAAATACAAGTAATAATAAATGATAAGCAACTGGAAAAATAGGCCTGAAAACCAACATTATTTCAGACATAAATAAATGAATAAATAAACTTAACCACAAAAGAGGAAAATAATATAAAATGTAGTTATGAACACCCCGATAAATAACTTGTTTTACTCACACTGTGAACACTCTTTCAACCCATTTTTTATCATGATTTCCTTGAGTGTTCCTCTTCATTTGCGACGGATAACCCTAGCCCAAAAATGCCTTCAAGTCTGGTGTTTTTTTCAGAGAGGTTTAAACCTCGTGTGGACCTGGCTTTGTCCACAGAAGGTTCACACGACCTGCATCGCGTGTGGGTTCACACACAAAAAATGTCACTGGTTGGCACACGTTTGTTTATGGTGTAAATCGAGCATTTTAGTGTTCCTCATCATCTATCTTTTGTTCGTTAACTTTTTTGAAACAGCTCTCATTGGTTTTGTACACGTTTTCTAATCGAGGACGTCCTCAATTTGACTCACGTCTTCAATTACACGGGGATGTTACACATTTGTGTCCTCGATTTACACCATAAATATACCCAAGCACACACGTTCGTGTCGAGTCTCGAAATTCGGTGCCAACTGAACACAGATTTTATGTTTCGGTTATTGAATTTTAAAAATCTGGCTCTCAATTTGGTTGCAGCTGTAGAAATAGAATGCAATCTCACCTGTGGTGTATGATCCATAGTAGCGGGTGACATTAAGTCGGTACGTGTCCGCCTCGTTCGCCACGCTCACGAAGCCGTACTTGGCAAAGGTTGCCACTGAGCCGTACGACTCTAGCTCGATACGGAGCTGGTAGTCACCCTGCGTGGCAGTCAGGACGTTGAGGGCGTCATTTCCCAGCCAGAAGCTGCCGGTGAGGGCGCCAAATCCAATCTTATACGAGTTCCAGTCCAGGTAGAAATCTTGCGATGAATCACCACGCCTTTGAAACACCTTTAAAAAAAAAGAGGAGAGAGGCGAAACTATCCATTTTATAGCAATGCCTAAGTAAACAGACTGTTATACTGTCTTGCTTCGGTGTATTAATGCTGATTGAAGTTTCCCGAAACTTGGACAAATTTGAATGCTGTATTCGCGAAATACAAAGAACCAAATATTAAATGTTGTAAACTCGAAGTTGGAATGAACAATGGAGCCCAACGACCTTCTAGACCAAAAACATTGTTTTTTTTCATGGAACTTTAATGGTACAATTGTTAGAATAACCGGGGACACCTTTAATGTTGCACTCAGGAAACTCCTTGCTACAGCCTTTGGTATACCATTTGCTTTAGGGCAGGCTTTTTCTTAGAAAATTAAATACATGTAATCAAATTTATACAATAATAAAAAAATCTTTGCATTTAAATAAAGTGAGTTGTACGTGTGTAACCGCTTTTGTGTTTTTGAAGTAATAAATTCCAATAAACTCAACCCACATCGGCGTGAAATTGAATCGATTGAAGATAATTATCTCTAGCCGAACTTGGACGATCGCCATGACAACGATCAAGCCGCAGAATCACGGATCATGCCTTCTGTGATGCTAACAATGTAATATCTAATTTAATTGACAGCTGCTGCTTGGCCAACTATGTTTTTTTAATAATGGTCTTCCCACTCAACCTCGGAACTCATATTCATAATGGCACGAGCACTGCATATGCAACGCATATTGAAGCTCAACGACTACGTCCAGTAGCCAAATTGGCCCTTGTCACTCGAAGGCAGACAAAGTGACGTCGTGGTTTTTAATTTCGTCCTTGAATCCGAAATCGACGCCGGTTCGGCAAGTGCCATTTTTATAGGTTTTCTCAGTTATCATAACATCTTATCATTAAAATGTCATGGAATGATACTTTAGTATCGTTCGTGTCGTGTGGACATTGGCGTTGAATTGAAAAAAAGAAGAAGCGAATTTGGAGGTTTTACCATTCATTTAAACACTTTGGTCATTCAGCTTCCTTTAGTGGCAAGCTGAAACGTTTCGGTCAGATTTGCTTTCAATCTCTTTGACTTACTTTGAACGATTAAGTGGATTTTGTGAAACATTTCAACATTCCTTAATTCAGTGAGAAAATCAAAAAAATATTCCTTTGTTGCGTCTGTAATCTTTATGGATCATACACAACAATGAAAAAACAGGTATAACATGCATGACACCTTCAAGGGAGATTGTATTCTTCGTTATTGATTCATTTCACGGTAAGCTAGGAACACCGAAATCACGCATGAACATCAAGCAGCTTTCAAGTGTGATCATTTCCTCCTTCCATCTCCTCCCTTCCCGTTCAAGCAATAGTGTGAAAATGAGCGATACGAAAAATGAATTCGTCTCCACCCGAGACAATTTTTAGCTGGCTTATTCTTGAACCTGGAGTACTGAATGGTAACGCATAGCAACCGATGAAAACGCACATGCTAATAAAAAGAGCTTTTCATCGGCTCAACTGAGCATGACATAATGCCGCCCATGACTTGGCGCACATTCGAAATCGGAATTAACAACGTAGCGTATAACGACGTTCTGGAACGAAACATGAGTATCTTTTAATGGAATTTCAATAATAATAAGCGTCAAAGCAATGGGCCTTATGCACGAGGTAGCATTTTTTTTTCGAGTTCCCTGAATGTATTTCATAAATCGTTAACTGTTGAATGGAATGGCGCCAGACTATTTATGCAGCCTTATTTTATTGTCATTTTTTAATCTGGCTTAAAACATTAGGAAATGTTTAATTACATTTACATGTTCCAGAAACGTCGTTGGGCGCCATTGTTAATTCCGGTTTCGAGTTTACAAGTATTAGGGAATGTTTAATTAATTTCTGATGTTATAAATAGGTTTTCCCAGTTACTTTAACACTTGTATCATTCGAGTTCCATGGAAAGATATTTTAATTTCGTTCCAGAAACGTCGTTGGACGCCATTGTTATTAAATTCCGGTTTCGAGTTTACAAGTATTTTTAAATAGTTGTAAACCGTTAATTAAAATTAACGGTTGGGGAAACCTATACATGTACTATACGGGCAGGCTTGTAATGTGGCATTTTGACGTACAAGACTCGCTTATTAACGACGCTGGGTAGTCGAATCGGCTGCTTAATGTTGGTCATAAATATGCAAATTCTTCATTTTAGAGCCTATAAAGGATGCATTGTTTCTTTCTAAACAGCTATTTGTAACAAACTTATACCCAAATTGTAACCCGTAGTTCTGGAGAAGAAAAAATACTCGTTAAAGGTGTACATTCGTCCTGGTATAGCCAAACGAAGTTACTATTTTGGATCTTTTACTAAAAACCATTATTTCGAAGGTCTTGGTAAGAGGAAATTTGCAGTAATTTACGAAGAACATTTTTTGTGGAAAACCCTGTACTCTGCTTACAAATGACGCGGCTGCTATTTTCTGCCCGCATTTGATTGCCAACTCAAATAAGCAAAAGCTGTTTCGTTAGGTGCGACGCATTATATAATTTATGCATGCTAGTCCAGGGACAATTCGTTCTGGGTTATGAAAGCAATAATGTATGAAGCAATGTCTTCGAAAAGAAATATGAGTGACTTGAATCTAGACTATAGTTTCGTAATTGACTACCATTATTCCCAACGAAGCCGTTTTTGTCGTGTTCCCTGAATGTATTTTATAAATTGTGAAGTGTTGAATGGGATGGTGCCAGACTATTTTATGCAGTGTAGCCTCACTTTCAATTATTTTTTGAAATGTAGCTTAAAACATAAGGATATGTTTAATCACAAATATTAAATTATTCATTTATGTCATTGCTTTCATTTCTCTTCGCAAATTCCCAAAAAATGAAGATTTTACCTCACTTTCAATTTAATATGGCACGTAAATAAGGCCCCTGGAGATGTGAGTACAAGGGAACAACAGATAGTAAAGGTCTCCACAAGGCAATTTCTATGGGTGAATACGCCTCCTCAAGGTTTTCAGGAAATATTTTGTATTTACATTGTATTTATTTGTATTTGCATTTCTGTACATATTTTTGTGCATAGATTAAAATTACTGAAATTGTATTCTAACAGTGCTTAGGTCCAAAAAAAGTCTCCGGTTTCTGGTCTACGCGCGCATCGCCGTAACCATGCTCGTCGGCAAACTTAAAAAGGTTTTTTTTTTTAATTTAATGCAAGATGATATCTCAAAACCGCCAAACTCACTGGTTTGACTGGAATCTTGCTGCTGAAAAATTTTAACGTGTTTTATAGATGGGGTATGATCGAGTATAAGCTTTGTGTGGCCTCTCTGGGCTCCCATCTATTTTGTACTCAAATTTAGTCGGGCACATTATTTGCACACGGTGTTGTAATTTTGTAACTGTGCGTCTGGAAGCCAGACTGGGGAGCGATAGTCGAGTATCTGGAATCTGTAAACGCTTTTTAATTAGCGCGATATGTAAGGGGGCAGACTAATGACCAGCCTGGCAGCACATGCACGATGTCGATGTCGCTGGTCCGACGTTACCGTTTTCTCAGATTTGTGTCTTGACTATACAAATTTCCTGAAGAAATTTCGTGTCGGTCGAGATCGTAAGTGGGTGCAGAATTCTCAAGCCTTATGGCCTTACTGAGGTCACCTCAAGCTCCATCCTGAAGGATATTTTTGAAAGTTTTAAGGGGATCGAAGCGTCATCTGCAACATCAGCCCATTCAGCCGACACTTGAAGAAAAAAAAGTAGGGCAAAAACCCGCGTCGCTGCACCACCTTTGGGGCAAGCTCCATACCAGATACCAACGACCTTTCTTTGGGGGGCCTAAGCCTATTCACATTGTGTTCAATGACAGACAACTGCAGGAGAAAGCCAGGGTTGACCTTGTATGTTGCTATACTGGTATAATGGTACCACGCTTATGGGCAGGTAAATGTCAGTAAGCCTATGTTTCCTTTAAAAAAAAACAACTTCAACCCTAGAAATGTGGACAGAGTTTTAAAATCTTTCCAAATTGACCTTTCACAAGTGCATAATAAAAACTTTTAAATAAAAAAAAAACTTTGACATTTGTAATTTTTTTTTAATTTGCTACAAGGCCTTATCACAATGCTACATTGAAAAAAATGGTGCTCAGGGCTTAAACACGTTTTGGTACCCACTTTTTTCCACATGATTAGTCTAAGACATATTTATTTAGATGTTTGGCGCAGTATGACAGCCAGTTGTTGCCATAAATCTAAACATGTTGTGGATATCCAGCCCTATGTTGGTGGTTCCCAATTTTGTCAATATCATGTGTTCAAGGGGCGCTAGTCACACGCCATAAGCCCGCAATATAGCCAGAGACCGCGCTCAAAATCAGCAACATTGGGAATGTTGCAAACCCGGGAAATATAGCTGTGTTTAAACCCTAAACACCGGCTTAACAGTGAAGGTTTCTTACCGTCCATCCGCCTAGGTCCGTAGTCATATCACAGTAGACTGTCATCGCATTAGCCCAAGCTGGTGGGTATATAGCATACTCGCCACTCGGACTGCTCGGTGACGTAGTGTGGATATCCCAACAATCAACCGGCGGCTTGTCTGGTGGAAAGAAGGTAAATACGAGGCCGGGGAATATTTAAGCTAGGTGAGCTAAATTTAAACAGAAGAAACATAAAAGACAAACAAGGAGGGTACGGCAAATTGTCCCCGAATTTGGAGAATGACTGGTATTTATGTGAGTAGCTTCAACAAATAATTTGAAAGGAGATAGGCCTACCGTAAAAGGCCTGAAATGCGGGAAGTTCAGAATGGTATGAATACTCGAATCTGGCCTTTAGGCCTATGGTCAAACCAAGTGTAATATAGTTCATGTCATTAATCAATCTGTCCGCAAGCTGAGTCATGAGTGACCCGGAATGGCAACTTTCGGCCGACCCCAGTATTAACCTCAAATCGATTATTAATTTGAAACTACCTTTTAACTTTATTGTTAATAGGAACTTTATGAATGTTTCATTAAGCAACAGTGTCCAAAATGTTCAAAAATAAAAAGCAAAAAAAAATTCCACGTGCTGTGAAAACCGAAACGGATGTTGTTTTAAAGTTATGCCCATTAAAATGTGTCCTCCATGATGATCAAAAGGGGAGAACTAACCAGTAGTAATATGTGCAGTTGTCGGCACTTCGGTTGTCGATACTTTAGTTGTCGGTTCTTCGGTTGTCGACCCTTTGGTTGTCGGTTCTTCGGTTGTCGGCCCTTTGGTTGTCGGCCCTTCGGTTGTCGGCCCTTTGGTTGTCGGCCCTTCGGTTGTCGGCCCTTCGGTTATCGGCCCTTTGGTTGTCGGCCCTTCGGTTGTCGGCCCTTTGGTTGTCAGCCCTTCGGCTGTCGGCCCTTTGGTTGTCGGCCCTTCGGTTGTCGGCCCTTCGGTAGTTGGTGTTTCAGTCGTCACCATTTTAACTGTTGTCTGCAATTTCGTAATAACAGCTTTAAATTAGTTGGTTACGAAAAAAAAAAACATTTTCCCGTTGAACTGCATAACTTGGCATTATTTCTAACGCAAAGGCTTCTATTACGAGTTTAAATATTTAATTTCGGTTCTTTGGCGAAACCACATCTTGGAATAAAGATCGTTGACAATTTGATTTTATTATACCCCTGTAGAAACCGACACGACCCATCCAATCACAACCCCATGAAAGGGGAATTAATTTCCCCATAACTCTGCTATAAAGCGGCTTTTTAGTGTACACGCATCAGTTGCTCATAGTTATGCAGTTTCTTGCAAAAAGTTTAACTTAATCCCGAAATGTGCACGTTAGTACAGCCCTTTCTATTTCTTGGGTGCTCATTTCCGACCGACCCTATTTTCGGCTCTTTATCGAAGGGAACAAAACTTTTTTTTTATTACCGCCGACAATGTGGGAAACCCCATTAGCAAAAAACAAAAACAAATCAATACAAATGAAAGCAATCAGGCTTTGTGTTATTTGAAATGGTATATTGAAAATGAATACCGTCTTTCTACGCGAAGTACGGCGTGTAGCAACAAGTGGAATCCCAGAAGATGAGAGGCTGTACTTGCATCTCATTAGACTAGGTGTCTATACTTTCTTTGGTATCCCGTGAATCCCGGGACATACCGTTATTTCGTTTTACCGTTTTGGATTTCCTCAAAAACAAAAACAGTAAACGAACCATTGACCGTTATGTCGTTTTACAGTTTTGTAAAACGGTCAAACGGTATTAAAATAAATACGGTTATTTCGTTTTATCAGTTTAGTAAAATTCATTACAGCGTAACGATCAATGAGTTTTGTGTTTTTCAGTTTTACACAAATAACTTTGAAAAACAGCAAAACGGTCAGTATTGAATACAGACTGTTTTTATTTTTTTTATTTCAGTATCATAGTTAACAGTCCGTGGTGCATTTCGTGGCGGTGGGCAAGGCGGGGGGGAGGGGGACGGGTGGAGGGGGACCATGCCGTGCACGAAGAAGTGTTACCTCGGCATAATTAATGTGTGGTGTGATTCTGCCTGGCGTAACCTTGACCCAATTGGTGGGGCTTAAAGAGTTGCAAGCAAAAATCGCGCTGGAAAATTTCCAGGAGGAAATTTCAGAATGGATACAGTGTGGTAAGACGCCAATTAAGTTGCAGATATTTTGAAGGAAATTGGAGTTTGGCGCGGCTCTTCAATAGCCAATATTCGCAAATTCTGTCGTGAGATAATTGTAAGGAGGGCAACTTCCCAGGCAGTGAATCGATCACAAGGGCACATTAACATCCCAAGGTGCATTGCTTAATTGCCAAACCTGAATCAAAAAATGGTCGACAAGACTATTGACCGTTTTGTCATTGTCGTGTTTTTGTAAAACAACACTCTAAAAATAAAGCAAGTAACCGTTTATCGCTTTTTACAATTTAAGAAAATAACACAAAGGTCATTGTTTTTTTGTGACTTAATACCGTTTGACCGTTTAACAAAACTGTAAAACGACAAAACAGTCAATGGTTCGTTGACTGTTTTTGTTTTTTAAGAAAATCCAAAACAGTAAAACGAAATAACGGTATGTACCGGGATTCCCATGGCTGCAACTACAGCCAAAATGTTAGTGAGCTGCTCGGTGCAGGAAAGTCAACTACATCTTGCCAAATATGGTTTTATTATTTCGTTCAGTGATAGCAGCTGATGATGAACTTATTGCAATAAACAAAACTGCAGACAATACGCACTTGACATAATTTAATTTAGCTATAGGGCCTAGATACGGGTGCACCTGCAATTTTGTTTCCGTCAGATTATATTTTTTTCCCCGACCGACCGACCCTACTTCAGAGGCAAACAATAAAGATAACCATAAAAATAAAGCCATAATGACGTTATCACGTATCGCATTAAAAGCGATTTTAGGGGAAAATAACCAACTTCATTAATTTATTATTAATTTAATAAACAAAATCAACTAGCATGTTCACACTAATTTTCTAATTTGGTACTGATCATACCTCGATCACCATTTTTTCAGGTTCAAGGTGAATTCAAAACGCAAACAAAAGCTTGTTAATTGCAGTTACTGCCCCATGAAGCGAAGAGGCAAGAGAGCCGCCTCTTTATTAATGAAACAAAAAAGGGGCAAAGATCAAGATCCTAGCAGTATTAAGATCCGAATAAAAACAATATCTTACCGGTAGCGAATCCGCAACAGCTGACTCCATCTCGTAGTAATTCCACCCAGCCTCAAGGACCACGTCTTCGGGAAATTCCTCCTTTTTGCCGGCGCACAGCTCGCAGGTGCCGCCTCCCTCCTCGTAGTTGACGGCGAGGCAAAGCGGCGATCGCAGGCAAGTGGCCAGGCATCTACCCGTGGATCGCACTCCGTGTACGGTCCGCAGCAGGTGATTCCTGAGCACAACATCGGGAGTTGCCGGGGCCGGACCAGAAAAACCCGCCGACCGGAGCCGTATGTCTCCCCGAGCCAACAACACGAGCGACGCGCACCAAAGTAATTCGACAACGAACACCTTTTCGTCACTAACAAACATTTCGTTTTTGGTGCGAGACAACTTGAAGTAATGTTAAAAGCGCTTCATCGAACAGTAATTTTTTTTCCAGTGCGTAAAATCTACCCATAGTCAGCCTTGTATGTCATTTGAACCAACGAACCTATCTCGTTCAATATTAAAAGACACAATAATCCTTCAACCTTCATTAATCGGCTAATGCGACAGCTGCAAGACAAGAGCCTCGATCTTGATCGATTTCTAGTGACCTCTCTCGGGCTTGGGCGAGGATACAACAACACGCTCCCAATGACTGTCCAAAATGCATACTTGTCTAGGCATCATAATTCAAAACACTTATCTTCGTAATCGTTCTTCCACGCATGCGTAATTTTTTTAATTTAAAAAATGTACCACGAACAATACACAAATCACCGTTTCAATTGAATAAAGCTCTCACTTCTATTCTAAAACAGAGATGTGCATTTGTTTTTAAATATGCATGTACATTTGTAGTATATGTAGTTTACATCGCCCGTTCTGAAACGCTCTCAGCGTCATTGCGTCACCAAAGGTGAGTGCATGTGTGAAATACCAAAGTGAGCTTTGAGGCATCATAATCAGTCCACAGTCAAGCATCATGGAACCCATACAATTTTTGCTAAGTTGCCATGAACCTTGCCTTAGTTTAGTCACGACTTTTAGGCGACATTAGCAACGATACAAACCCCGTTTCCATGGGTACGATCTTGCTGCGCCATGCTGGTTCCCATCATGCCTTGCGCTATATTGCGTTAGTGAAGGAACGCACACGCGCCCATGGGGTCGAGGCTGCAACGATACATGCCACAAGTAAACCTAGTGCCCTCCGTGGTTTAATTTGATGATAGAACACCATATGGGAAACTGCACACATACATTTCTGACTTTGATTCTGGAGGTGTGCCAACTCAATGTAGAAGACTGTCAGTTTAGGAGTACTGTACCCACCCTGACAGATTTCAACAAAACATGCCGTTGGGGTTTGATAGTTTGGGGAGGTTTTAATGAAGTTTAAATGATAGTGAGGGGGCCGGGAGCAAATGTAAAAAAAATGGCTAAAACCAACCCTGATTAGACGGCGTTCAATTCCATGTTGTTTTGTTTTGTTTTGAAATTCAGAGTTTAATAATAACCCGGCGGAACGGTCAGTCGATACAAGCTGCCGCCCAAGCCCTTCGTTGTTTCCTTGTTTTTCTTAGGCGCCGACACAGGACTGTGTTGACCACTGCGACCCTGGGTGTCTTTAATTATTACAGTCCTGATAATTAATCAGCTTAGGAAACGAATATCGATCTCAAATTTCCTATAGCATCAGGTGGTGATAAAGACGTTTTCACACTGGATGCAAGTGTTTACTGGGATCGAATGTAGGATTCTTTCATTTTGGCAAATTTCTGTTCTTTTTCTTCAAGAAATGACATTTACCTTCATTGTCGATTATGGGGGTAACACGTTTTCTTTCGGGCTTTAAAATATTACTCATGCCAAAAAAGATATTCAAATATTTCTTTTAAATGAAGCAAAATGTTGAGCCTCTTTTCTATTTGCAAGATTCCAGTCTATTTTGCGTTGCCAGACAGATTTAAGGGGGGGGGGAACACATTTGGGGTTGAGGGCTTGGACAGACCATGTGACGTTTGTTTACAAAATTGGATATTGTGGTCACGTGATGCCAAATTTCATCAAATGGTTCTCTTTCCGCAGTGCATGTATATCGCTTCAGATATGAATGGTTTAAAAGTGTTGAGTTAATTACACTGTTTAATGTGCATCGGGAAAATGACATGTAAAAGATTCTTAGTGTCTGGGTTGCCCGGCGGTTGCCTTTCGGCATGATGTCCCAGGACACATGGTCTTGGGGGGGGGGAGGGGGGGCAAAGAAATCATATGGGGCATGGCAACAACCACATCCATGACATCGCGTTGTTCGATGATATCCATGATTTAATTTGATGATAGAACATAGTTCGAAACATAATAGAAACTTGAAATTTGTTTCACTCGTTAACTATTGAACAAACTTGAAACGGTCGATGTCAACATTTTGGGCATGCGCGAAGCCATGGTGTCAAATTTTTATTGTGTTTCTGCTTAACTCTGCGACTTCAAAAGCCCCTTTTTTAACATTTTTTTTAAGCTCAAATATTTTACAAGGCAACACGTCTGAACGTTTACACCACACCTTTGTCACATACACTGATTAAAATAATTAGAGAATTCAAGTGCGGGATTAAGACTTAAGGTTATGCATCAGTCAATGGTTCAGAAGAAAAAGGAACACAAAACTTTAAATAATTCATGCAAGGCGACCATTACTGAGGAATACACACCATTCATTTTTTTTCAGCAAACTTGTTTCAGGCCTCACAGTGCTCCCTCTTTATCAATATAGGCCTATACATTTTTAATAGGTTTTGATGATAAAAATGTAGGGTTTTGAAGATTTTCCGAGCGCCAAAATAAGAGGCTTTATTTATAGGTTGTTTTAGATGCAAAACCGTGCGGTTTTTCAGCATTAGGAAACAGAAACATAGCAACTTGCATACCTCAATTTTCTTCACACTACATAATTTCATGCAAACTGCCAAATTCTAAAACACTAGCAATCTTAGAGAAAGGGTTGTATTGACAACGTGATTATTTTTGAATTACGATTACCAAATGCGGGTCAAATCAATTCTTAAAACTGTCTTTAAACAATTGAAATGTTTACCAGAATACAAATACAGCATTTTATAGATTATAAGGTTGCTTTTAAAAATAAAATATGCTCCCAAGTTGAAATAAAGGTTTCTATAGGTTTCGCTGTGAGGCCTTATGTTACAATCACACACAAAATTAAGTGTAAATTAATTTGGCCACCACATAATGATTAACCGGTTAAAACGATAAAAGTATAGCCTAAAAGTCAGTTTCTTATTTGTTCAGATCGCACTGTATTTAGCAGCCTTGCCGGATGTGGTTTCTTATGTTCATTCATCAACAATAAATGAGGTCTACCATATCAGCCATATGGTTGCTAACCACAAAGCGTCGCCGTTGTTGGGCAAAGAAAATCCGATTACGTACTTAGACGCTATAACGGAGCAGTGAAATTCATGCACCCCGAAAACATGGCATTTTGAAAGTTGTTTCTCAGAAAATATGCTCGGTATGATTGCAATGTTACATTCTAACTGAAGAAGAAATTCTAAACTTCATGTCAGTGAAAAAAATCGCCGTCATCGATGCCGAAACCTCAATACTGGTTACTGTCAAAGCTGACCTTCAAGTCTGGAAGAAATCGTTCGAAAACTTCCCCAAATGTATGTACATGTACATGTATTTATCCCAATTTCTAGGATTTTATCCCAGCTGTTATTTCACGAGTAGTTGAACACTATATCATCTAAGTATATTCCGAATTTCAGCTTAATCTGTTGTTGCGGACGCTAGTGTTGCAACGTGAACCACCTCCATGGAAAATTTCGAAGAGGATCAAACAAAAAATATTTGCCCACCCAACCCATTTCGGCCCAGCACACAATGATGACGGGCATATTGGCATAAGTTCAACAGCGTTTCGTGTGACATGGCGTGGGTTTCGGTATCGACCAATGGAAGCCGGCAAAAAGGGTGATATTTGTTAACAACTCGTGAAGGAGGCTTTTATCCAATTGTTTACTGCACACCGTAATGGAACCTCATTAATATTCGTGAGGCTTGAAATTATTGATAGATATTGCGCACGCCAGTGTTACAATTTTCAAAATTGCACGTAGCAAGGCCTATTTTTTCCAATTTCAACGAAAAGTGATGAACATATCACAACGACTTCTAGCACTTGGATCATTATAGGGGAAATAAATCCTGAAAGTTGCATGAAGATACGGTCTTCCAAACTGGAGAAATTAATTTTCAAAGATTTCACCCGCCAACGCGACCATGTCTGTGTACATGTTGTTTAGTAAATTAAGTGTTACGTAACCTTTCGAAATCGCCCTTCGCGACCATATGGCTGATATTGCACACTCAAACAGTTTTAGGGTGAAATGCGTCACATGTATTAAACCCGGATGTAATTTCGAAGTGACTACCCATTCTGCGAAGAATACGTCGGCTAAATATATGGCAAAATTGGGATCCACTTTTTGAGCGCATTGTGGAAATAAAATTAACAGTTCATTTCACGTCAGACCTACCGTCCAACCACTGAAGAAGCCGACTTGCATTGACTGATGCATAACGTTTCGCCAAAAAAAGAAGTGCGTATATAATTATCGATAAATATTGTACATTATTGATTACTTAATATTGCTACTTGATCATAAAGGCACTTATTGGCAATCGTTCCTTAACAAAGCTGAACCAAAATATGGTTCCCTTGGTTGTTATAACATAACACGAACTCGTAAACAAAAACCGAACATTTGGTGTCCCGTGAACTCTGGCACTGCTTGGTTATTCATGGTTGCAACAAAACGCGCAACAAGTACATTGTATTGCGGACCGATGACATTCAGTACAATTTTCAGTTGTAGAAAATCTTTGCAAGTAGACTCTTTGGAACCAACCTCGTCCCCAGGGCTTACTTTATTTTCAACCTCGTTTCCAATAACAAGTAGCTGGGATGGAAACTTTCTTTCTGTATCCCCGATTCGATAGCACAATAAGCAGGTAATGGATTTATATCGTGCACTTGGTGGTGTTATTTCTGAGGTGTATTACGTGTTTTCACGTTCATTGTAATTATAACGTCCACACCTTCTCAAAATAATAATTTCCTTTCCAATTTGCTCAAATTAATATGAAATATGATACTGTATATTGGCTGGATAAGATTGTAACATTCCAACTCTGAAAATCGTGTTTTCATAACTCACGCCGCGACGAATTGATTCTGTTTTTACCCAAGACATCACATACAAAAACAAACGCTGATGTAAAGCACAGGCAGGCACCAGACTATTCCTCATTTGCATACGTATCCACACATTTTGGATATGCAAATGATCCAATACCAGGGCGAGAGAAAGCAGGTAGTGGTGAGAGCGTACTGCTCGACACCTTGGGAACGAGGTTGCTTTGGCGCTCAACTGGCAATTTTGTTGACTGTGGGTTTAAGTTTCGGAAGGAAATATATCCTTCAAATTACAATACTCTTTTGCATGGAAACATCTGATATTATCGTTGATTTTTCCATCTTCTCTAACGTTATACGACCTTATAGAAGCAGAGCCAGAGGTCAGGGATATAAAAGCCATGAACGGATACGAATTTTAATTAGAACAAATCAATATTCCTAAATACCATAGACAAGATACTCGCCATTTCGTACAATTATTAAAGTGCATCTTTCAACTACATTACCTTTTGAGCACAAACTTAAGCAGATTAGTGTGCAAATATACAAGTTATCGGTGCGCATTATTTTATACACAATACGCGTGCGTGCCGTGCAATCACTGCAAATCAGGAAAAAAAATGTGGGAACGTATATCGATCATCATCTGAACAGTTGTTTAACGCCTTTATATGATTTGACCGGGTTACCAAAAATTAACCAGCAACCATCCGGTACAAAACCAGTTTCAAATAAACGACATTACTCAAACTGTTTAAGCACGCTTGGTTGTGACAAAACAGTTTTGATAATCCCTATAGCTTACATTGAATTAGATTGAATTTTCCCCCAATGTCTACGTTATTATAAATCATCCGTGACATTTCGTTACCTCGAGACAATCACAGTGAAAAAGTCCTAACACGTTTTCCGACCGTTAATCTAAATACATGTATCAGAAGTTTTCATTGCCAGTGTAGACGTATATCTAATTAATATACAAAAGGTGCAATATATATATTTAATAAATTAATGAACAATAAATTCGTCAATCTAAATTTCAATAGATATTTCATGTTACTATTTTATACATATTTAAACAAGGATATACAATTATTTGATTTTAAACCTGCATAATTTGTTTTAAAATGTGCGATGTTGTTTCCAAACCAAGTGACAGTCCAACATTGGTAATGTGGTGCTACGTTGCCAAGTCTTTCTCCAACTTTTGAAATTGAATTTAAAAAAACCGAGTATTTGTGTCGTTTGGAATTTTTTTTCGCCGTCTAGACAAATCATGCAATATTTCCGTTCTGACCGTACACATAGGCCTATGGAACATCTTCTTGCACAGCAAGAGTCTATGATATGCAAGCAGATTAATTAGTTATGCAAATTACAAGACTGCGTCTTGACCTCGAGATTCTGACCATTCGCCGGGCGCCTTCCATATCGGGCCAGATTGACCAATCATCAGTCCACATTTTCTGATCGAAATGACGTCACAATTTCTAAAGTCAACTCCGCTTAGCTGGCGCGCGGGTCGCATCAAATTTGCATGCTCAGATATATCAGACGTTGGTTACGGAGACGGCTCCGTTGGAGTACGGTTGAACAAAGGGTGCTACTCAGATTATAAGGCCTACGCCCACATCTTTTAAATTGAAAAACAGAATTTAAATCGATGTTCAGGTCCTTTTTTCTCCATAAATTAAAAAGTTGTTCAACTATTGTGTGATATCGGTCAAAAAAGTTATTTTTCCTTTCTTTTTAAATTGATTAAATAATAGGTATCAATATTTTTCGAGGAAAAGGTAGAGATGCAAACAATTTCAAGTAGACAACAACAAGTAGATTCTAGGCCTAGCATTTGTTTACGCCCTCACATTCCTTAGACAAAAACAAGCACTTTTACAATAGCCATCACTACTACTTTTACAAGCTTTCCACGACTCTAGATCTGGCTTTGCAAAAAATAAGGGCGTGACTGTTCATTCAATTAGAGTTAACAAATAAATTTAGGACCTCGTCGTCATTCTAATATTTACCTAATGTAACAAGCAAATGGTCAGTCTGTAGAAGAGGACATTCCACAAACAAAGCATTTTAGCGCTTTGTAATTATAATTTTGGCAGTGAAGGTCCTACCGAAAGGTTAGAATTCATTGAGAATTGAAAAAGAATGTTGCAACCTGACCCCGCTTTACTCTTCATATATCATCTCAATAAAGGTCAGTCATTGCAAAAACTGTTGAAGAGACATGAATCTGGGACTGACAAGCCTGTCCAATTTTAAGACTTTGTACACAACCGCTGAAGTGAAGTCTGGATACTACATTCATTCCGTGAATTGAATATACAAAATGTAAATAGCAAATTTAAATAGCGAATTTCACAGACAAAAAAACAATCAAATTTCTGAAGATTGTTTTCCTCTTCACATCGTCATCTCCCTCGCCGTTTGGTACATACCCAACGGGGAATTAATTTGGACGTTAAAACAATTCAAGACACTAAAGCCCCAAGATGCTGTTGCCTGCCTCAATTCTACCGACTTCTCCAAAACCTCCCCGCTGATTTTAAATACCTCACTGCAAGAAACTCAATTTCACGGTGGATCCAGAACAACAGATTTTAAAACAAGAACATTTAACCGGTTATTTTTTTTCATTTTGTCTTTTAAATCATTTAGACTTATTTTGCCACATACGTTTTATTTTCAAAACTGCTTCACTTCCGCAACAACTACAAATTAAAACATCACTTTAAACACGTACTCCTCAATAAAGATTTTTATACCATAAAATTGATCAAATTTCTGACCTCTGTAGAATATACATAATTTTAGAGGTCAGGTGTCAAAGGTCAAATCGTCCCATTAGTAGTCATTGGTGTTATCTGTTTGAGATGGGCAAACCTTCACTTTCCTTATCCCGCTCGTAAACATCGCTGGTTTGTGTGACTGGGGGAAAAAAGAGAAAATAGCAATATAAATTTTGTCTGCAGCAATTATTAAACACACTTCATTTGTAGAACTTGTAAATTTTCAGGTATATAAATGTATACTTCTTTTTACAGTTTCTGAGAATTATTATTATTATTTTTAATTAATACATTATGGAATATTTGGTATGGTGCATAGCTAAGTCCCCAAGCTGTGAAATACAGAACTTGAAGGAGGCACTTCAAATAATTTTGCATTATGCATCGGTGCTTTGTGCTTGTGCAAGTGGAGATTTTGATTTTGACAAGCATGTTGGCTGCAGTAAATTTCAAGAGGCTGTAACTTAATTTAGGGCTGTCAATATTCGAATAAATTACAAATAATAAATTCGATTATTCGAAACGGCGTTTGACCGAATATTCGAATATTCAAAAATCGGCAGTCAAGTTTACACATGCCAGCTGCAGCTGCATGCTACACCTGCCAAAAGTTGCATGCGAATTGCGCCGGTTAAAATAAGATAGGAGTGTTTTGCAGTATTTTCTAACAGTAGATGGCTTTAACCTGCTAAAAGGATTGGACAATGAACCGCCGTTGACAAATAAAGTTCCTTTCAACAAAAAGTGGCATCTGACAATGAAGCACAGCAATTTTACATTTAAATTTTTAAAAGTCGTGTGTGTACATGCATACTTTTTTTTCCCCAGTAAAAAAAGCGATTTGAATATTCAGTTGATGATCGCATATTTGAATATTGGATAGGGAATTTGTTCAGATAACAGCCGATACCCATCTCTGGCAAGCATGGTTGAGCCACCTTGGCTGTAGAGGGCGCCATTAACAAGATAAGTCAAATCAAGCCTTGGGATGTTTGGTTCGCACACTGGACACATTCTGAGCATTCCCAGTGAGGGATGTGCGGACTTTCTTGAGTCTGGGAACTCTAGGTGGAAAGTACCCAGAGACTGCATTTGACTCATCTTGTATAGCACTGTGCCCACCACGGAGGCTTGACTGCACTTGTCCGGGATTGGCTAGAGGCTGCATATGCGAAATGAAATTAATTCAATCAAGTCTTGGATCAAGACTATAGCTCTTGAGTGGGGGCTGTGTACTGCCCTCAATATTTCATGCACAGAGCCATAACAGCAATTTTCTGGATCATCTACTGCATTCTACATAGGCGTAACCAAGGGGGGGGGGGGTAGGGGGTATTTAACCCCCACCCCCCCAATATTTTATAAAGACTGCCTTTTTCCATTCAAATGCCCTAAAAAAAGTAAGTGGTGCCCTTTTGTGTGGCATCTGCCGTTTTGGGTGCCTTTTTCATGCAGAGCCATAACAGCAATTTTCTGGATCATCTACTGCATTCTACATAGGCGTAACCAAGGGGGGGGGAGTAGGGGGTATTTAAACCCCCCCCCCAATATTTTATAAAGACTGCCTTTTTTCATTCAAATGCCCAAAAAAAAGTAAGTGGTGCCCTTTTGTGTGGCATCTGCCGTTTTGGGTGCCTTTTTCTGAATTTCGCCCATGTATCGCCCTAAAAAGCACCATATATTGGCCCTTTGTGTGCATAATCGTCGGTTTTGAACAGCGCCCCCATCGACAGATGTTACCAGCCCCCCTCCCCCCCCCCCCCCCCCCCCCCGAATGACTGGGAACACTGTGTTTCACACACATTGGACTTTAACTCAATTATAAGTCTTTTTCAAAATACTCGGGCTTTTTCAGACTTTTCCAAAATACACAGTTTCCTGCCAAACATCAAGGTTCCAAGAACTTAGAAGACACACCAAACGGTGTATTTTCTCAGTCTTAAACCTTACTGTATCAAGTCATAATTCAGTACACTTTTTGGGACTCGGATAGAGGCCTGGACTAAAACACCTTTAAGCTGCTAGTATCTTCTTCTTATTTTTAAGTTCAGAGACAAAAGAGTAAAACCATGCTTAAAATCATGCTTAAAAATAAAATCATGCTTAGAAGAGTAAATTGATAAACTGGTCACATTCTTTCGATTTGTTTAATCAAAAAGCACAAGAGAACAACTTCACACAAGCTCACCGAGGCAAGAATTGAAAATGCTAAATGTGACACATACTCAATTCATGCAAATGTTATCAGAGACAGAGAAAAGAATAAACGCAAAGAAAGCAGCCCACTAGTTACTTCAAGTTTGAAGCCTGATCTCCACCATGTTTTGACTCGATTCAACAGAAAATGCAGTAAAAACTATCTGGATTTGGCTGTCTGACTCAACCCACTGGCAAAGAAGGTGATGTGGTAGTTGTCATTTATCGTCAATTATGGGAAGCTGTGTTTTTCCACCAAATTAATTATTTTGCAGCATGGGGGATATTTTTACTTGAGAGCAGTGTTGTAGTCGAGTCCATCACAAGTCCCTGCAAGTCCCTGCAAGTCCATCACAAGTCCTTCACAAGTCCTCACAAGTCCATCACAAGTCCATTATAAGTCATCCAGTCTCGTCAAGTCCCCACAAGTCCAGCACGTACAAGTTCCTGCAAGTCCCAACAAGTCCATCACAAGTCCCTGCAAGGCCTCACAAGTACACCACAAGTCCCTGCAAGTCCTCACAAGTCCATCACAAGTCCCTGCAAGTCCTCACAAGTCCATCACAAGTCAAATCACAAGTCCATCACAAGTCCATTATAAGTCATCCAGTCATCCAGGAACAAGTCCATCACAAGTCCATCACAAGTCCATCACAAGTCCATCACAAGTCCAACACAAGTCCATTGTAAGTCCCTGTAAGTCCCTGTAAGTCCCCACAAATCCAGCACGTACAAGTCCCTGCAAGTCCCAACAAGTCCATCACAAGTCCCTGCAAGTCCTCACAAGTACACCACAAATCCCAGCAAGTCCTCACAAGTCCATCACAAGTCCCTGCAAGTCATCACAAGTCCATCACAAGTCCCTGCAAGTCATCACAAGTCCATCACAAGTCCCTGCAAGTCCTCACAAGTACACCACAAGTCCCTGCAAGTCCTCACAAGTCCATCACAAGTCCCTGCAAGTCCTCACAAGTCCATCACAAGTCCATTATAAGTCATCCAGTCTCGTCAAGTCACAAGTTATTCAAAACGAATTGTGACAAAGGCATTCCTCTGCTATTGTTCATCTATGATACTTGTTACTTGACCTAGGATTTACTTGTGACTGGACTTGACTCTACTACAACCTGGTTATAGAGCACGCTTACATTTTTTTCAAGTGTGACAGTTGGTCAAATGATTTGCTTACTTGATGGCCTTGTTTTCTTGCTTTCTGGATTTGGTGCTTGTTTGATGTGGTGAGTGAGTGCTGCGTGCTTGCTGTGTTTGTCGGTGGGTTTTTTTTTTCGTGCTTGTTAGCTTGCCTGACTTATTGTGCGGTACTTTTTTTTTCCTAGAGCAAAATTTGTGCTCTGTCACCCTCCGCCCGCTCCTCCCTTCAAGGTCATATTTTGTTCATGGTCGAAGATGAAAAGCTAAGAATGCGTTACCATGCACAGAGTGACAATACCCACAATGTTTTGCAACAAATGGGATAGTGTTTTTGTCCTCTTTTTAAAACCCCTTCATCTTCTGCTTTTAAAGCAAGTGGCGCACAGAGGTGGGGTTCCCAAAAGGACAAAGCTCCATGCTAAATGCATCTGATGCAGACACAATCAAACAAGTTTTTTTTCTGATAATCTTCAACAATTCAACCCTTTCACTGCCAGACAACCTACCCTCACGCAGAGGGTTTTCACAGTTGCAACATACATGCATTATGTCTCTGACGGTTTAAACAACACTGCAAGAATGTGTTCAATGGCAGTGGCAGGGTTAAAGTTGAAATGCTGTGATTGGGAGATCTTTTTGGGTGTGATTATGGGAAGCAATTTGGAGGGAAAAAATGCCTTTTTGTGTACGGTACAAGGTGGCACACATACAATCACGCAACTAGAAAAATTAAAGACTAAAAAAGGCATGACAATGCTGGTGACTTTTGCAGAATGAAGCGTGAAAAGATAGTGACGTGTTGTGTGCACCACCATTATTTAATTTAATGTACAAAACAAAAGCATTTGGTTTTCTTTTTCTTTCTTTTTTGGTCGTGGTATGATCTCAGTTTGGAGACTCACCGAGCTATTCGTACGGATCATACGACAAGTCAATCCCAGTGTCCAGAGGTGCCATGACCTCATAGAGTGGGGCTTTTTCGGCATTCAAGAGGCATTTAGGATGGAGCTGGGTTGGATGGGAAGGTAATTAGGTTTCACACATGAGATTAAAGCACATCCAAGCACATGACCCTGTGGGAACCTTTTACGCCTTTCAAAAAACACATCAACGGAGAATCATTCATGCAAGGTAATATAATAAACCAAAAAAGTGAAATATTTGTTGGAAACACACACACACATGACACTTGATGCACAGACAAAGCATTTTTGATGAAAAGATCTCTCTCCAAGGTCATCTTGTTTTGGTATGCGCAAACCGGAGTTGTAGTCCAGTCTTTACATCACAAAGGCTAATCACAAGTCTAGCCTAAGTCAAGTGTAGGGGTGTGCATTTGCGGGTAGGGGGTCCGCTCATAAGTCCGACGCCTCATAGGTCCGACGCCTCATAAGTCTGAAATTTCGGACTTATGAGGCATCGGACTTATGAGGCATAACATTTATTTGTTCCGCCTCATAGGTCTAACGCCGCATAAGTCCGACGCTTCATGGCTCCAACGCCTCATAAGTCTGAAACAACATTTGTCCATTGTCGGATTTATAAGGCGTTGGGCATATGAGACGTCGAACCTATGGGGTGGATTTTATGCCTCATAAGTCCGACGCTTTATAAATCTGATTTTTGGGACTTATGAGGCATCGGACCTATGAAGCGTCGGACTTATGATACGGCCAACAGGTAGTGTTAGGAAACGGGGTCTCTGACTGAAACAAAACGGGTACCCGTTAAAGAAACACATCCCCAAAATTTAAGTCTCGGAAGTTACTGTGCAGATTGTTCATAAAGGTCGGCACGATAATCCTACCACATCGGTGTGTCGATACAGCAAGATACAAGTGAGTAAAGTGACCTTTATAGATTAACGTTGTAAACCACAACTTTTGTGAGCGTCATAAATGTGAAATATGTTTTGTTTTCCCATCGGGCCTGGTTTCATTTTAAAAAATCCCCACGAATGACATTCAAGACCTTTCTTTTTCATTGTCTGAGAAGTCACTAAGCAACTATTTGTAAAGTTGGTTACGTGCACCCAATCCCATAATCTGGAACTGGTTCCTGACACTGACGGTCAGGTACACGGGTAACCAGTTCCGATGCGCAGTCCTTGTAGTGACAAGCTTTGTATGCCATTTGTGGAGAGATGTTAAATTTTAACACAAAAAAACAATTTCATAAAAAAATCCATCATACAAGTCATTGACTGCTTTATCAGATTTACCACCGGCCAGTCGACCCTTGGAAGCTGCGTGGCTGAGCGGTTAGGATGTCTACACTTTAGTAACCACAAGGGTAGTCAAGCATTACCCGAGTAAGCTTTTGAATGTTTTTTATGCCAGCTCTTGTAGCTAGGAGTCAGGTTGGCACAGTGGTTACTTTCCTCCCCTTCCACTGCTATGGCCAGGATTCGATTCCTGCCCGAACCACATTTGGATTGGGTTTCAGTCCCTACCTGATTCTGTGGGTTTCCCCAGAATATTCTTCTGGGGTTTTCCTCCCACCTCTAAAACTGTACATGTGTAATTCTTCTCATTGTCTCCTCACTATATAGCTTTCTACAGGCTTTTGAGCTACAGTGCCTAGGGCACTTTTGAGGAATCCTTGGTTTCATTACCAGAAAGAAAGAAAATATAGAAAAAAAAGATTACATTGGACAAAGGAAGAGCCAAATTTAAACATGTAACCAAGCCATATTCAAATGAACTTTGATAAGGACTCATATGTTATCCTGATCTGACTTAAGATCGACTTGCGATTGACATCTGATTGGATTGATTAGAACTTCAGCGCAAACTGTTATCCAAGAAGGTTTTTCAATTGATGAGGAAGAGAAACATTGAAAGAGAGCACGCAAGGAGGAACATGAGGGTCTTACCGAGTCCACAGTGGAGGCTCCGCCCAGACTGCTCTCCTTCACCTTTCGGATCTTCTGCTTGAGGGCGCTATTCACCTGTTTAGGTCACAAATTGAGAATGAGGAGATGTCACGTGACTCTTCACGGAACCCTACTGAAACCAGACTGGAGCTCAGGGTATAAGTAAATTGTGCAGCCAGGTCGCGAATTATTTTTTCCCAACAACATCGCTGGATGGATGTTGAGTGCCCTCAACGATACTTTATTTTACAGGTATATAATGCCATGAATTACGCTTTGCTGTCAAGCTCTTTGATGGCTCAGCTGGATAAAGGCATGGTTTTGAGATCGGAGGGTATGAATTCGAATCCAAATTTTTCCAATTTTTTTTCTTTTCTAATTTGCGGCTTTGGAGGATTTTTTTTTAAAAGGGACATCAAGTCCAAATGTTATTAGGTTCGAATTCATTTCTTTTTTTTCTTTATATATTTTTTTACCTCATGTTTTTAGGGAGGTAAAGTCCAAAACCTCATAGCGTACACCCCATTCGGTTATGTCGCTTGGGGAAAAAAAATTGCAGCCAGGTCAGGGTTGTTTGATTTGAATCATTCGATTGAATCATTGATTTGATTTCAATCACTGATTTTAATCACTTGAAAAAAAAATGTTTAATCATTCAAAAACATCAAAAGTCCATCCCCCTCGTTGGCTTTACGGTTCCATGACATTGGGCCCATTACCTCAAGGTATGGGGACAGGCAATGGACTAACTACACAAGTGCCCCCTCAGCAAGAGTGAAATAGAGAGATTGCCCCAACCCCCCGCACTCTATGGTTTTATGGATTCACAGTTTCCCTGTACTTTTCGAGCATATTCTCGATTTATCATTTTTCGTGGGTGGGCAGGGACATTTGCACCCCTCCCCCCCCCCCTCAACCCATTGAAATTACAGCAATATGACTTCGCGCCTCTTTTTCTTTCTTTTTTCTATTTTTTTTTTTTTTTTGCTTTTCCAGGGGGGGGGGGGGCAAGGGGCAAGCGCTCCCCCTCCTCGCGAGGCCCATGCCCTCCAGCTCTGATCTGTTTGCTAGGCTCTTCGAGATATGGGAGATCTATGTACTCCCAAATAATAATTTGGGAGGCTAATCATCCTTACATGCAGCTGGTATGCTGAATTGCGAAGGTCGCGGCCACAACGTGGTCGGGCCGCTGGCACGTAAAGGCGCCTATGGCTGCCGGCCACATCGACCCATATATGACCACGGAGCACAGCCTGAGATCGAAAGTGTTTGATTTTTTCCGGAGGGAGGAAAACCGGAGGGCCCGGAGAAAAACCCTCGTGGCACAGGAGAGAACCAACGCACAACTCTACTCACATGTGATCCACGGCCAGGATTCGAACCGTGGTCACCTTGGTGAGAGGCGAGCGCTTTACGCACAAGCCACCCATGCCACCAAATGCTACACACAGCAATGGAAGGCACTTTGCCCAAAAAGAAAAGGTCAATCCAAATTCTCACAAATGGACACTTTCTGAATTTCCTCTTATTTTGTCGAAATTCATGCAGACAGCAACGAACAGAGTCTGTAATAGAGTGGTAATTTATCCAAAGGAATGAACAAAATGCGGGGTAAGAAAAAACTGACTTTTGAGTGGAATCTGCAGTTATCAGATTTTGGCCTACCTCGCTACTCATAAAGCAGTGGAACAGAGCCATAAAGAATCCCTGAAAATAAACAAATAGAAAAAAAGTGTTATTATTTTATTATTCAAATAAATAAATAGTTTTTGTGAGTTAAATTTACATAATTTCTGTTCGCCTTACTTTTATGAATTAATTTTGATAACTTGCACCTTCCATTTTGACTTCTGTGGCTTAAATACACAGATTTTAAACCACATGATTTTGGGCAATTCCATCTCTAGAATGGTCTAGTGTTCTTTCTCACCAATGCAAACACTTTTGTTTGTGCCGAGTGTCCCGTAAATAACAATATACAACGTTGCGTTGACTCATGTGATACAGTAAAAGAGAGACTGTCACAGACTCCGTGCAACGAGTTACAAAGGTAGAGTTGGGGGAGACCACTGGCAGAGACATTCAAATGCATTGCCAATGAATTTAGCCCGTCACTCACGCAAAGACGCTACGGGTTTGTGCATGCGAACCACGCAATGTGACCCTCGAAAGTGGCCACAAAGTGCCATCTCTTGTTCGTTCATAAAGTCCATACTGAACAAGTCTGTCAACCAAACGTTTTCTAAATTTAACTCACAAATAGGTTACCTCACAGAACAGACAGCCCATCAAGCAAAATGAACAATTACCATATAAGAGCCAGGTAGAGTGAGAAGGGGGTCAAAGCAAAATCCACTGCCTTATTATATTTTCCAAATATCATCACTTTTATTTATTTTTTCAATCTGAGCCTTCATGACTTCTGGGGCCGATGAGTTGTGCAAAATTTTTAAAATTCACATTTATCATTCGCTTGAAATGTCAATATAGGGTACCATTTTAGTAAGCTGTTAAAGTTGGTGTATACGTGCTTTTTGGGTGTGGCACCTTGAAAAATAATTTTATAAATTGAATTGATAATTTTCTAGCATGACATTAGTTATGAGCTTTCCAATGAGACATCGCTCTAGAAAGTTAGCCCACGACAAGTAATCAATTAATTTCAAGCAAATTTATTTGTTGCAGGACATTACATTCCTTTCAAATTTTGTTTGGAACAGAAAATCAAAATTTTGAAAAAGCACGTATATACCAACTTTATCTTGTGGCACGAATTTGAAATGTTGGTAACTGCAACACTCTTTGTCTGATTAGGCTGAAACTGTGCAGATATACAAAGCATTGATCTCTTTAGGTAGATACCACATCTCAATAAAATCTGTTATTTGACAACTGAGAAGTTAGGGTAACATCTCCCCATCCATCCCCACCCACACACGCACCATGCCAAAAAAAGGTTAAAACTAAAAAAAAAACCTATTTTAAGGTTTAAGCCTTGAGGATTGTTAACAATTACCCAAAAAATCTCAACACAAATTTGTGACTACTGTACTACGTTAACAATTTCGTGCTTTTACCTGAAAGGAATTCAGCGTCACAAACATGTACTGCAGGGCCGCGTGGTAATGGGCAAAGTACCCAAACACCCAGGTGATACCGAGAATAGGCAGAAGGAGCAGGGAACTACGCAGACCGGCCCTGTCAACACATCAAAACAAGCACTTTAGATGAAAATGCCATGTACGAACAGCCTAAGCCAATTCCTTTACTGAATTCTACAAAATGAGAAAGTGGATTGAGGCGTTTGTACTGTGTACAGTACATTTTGGGAGCAGACTTGTTGTCCAAGTGTCACAAGTTTGCCAAAGCATAAATTTGTGTATTGGGATTTAAGCTTCAAATATGTACGGATGAATATGGATGACGATATTCTGAAAATGTCAATGTATGCTTAAAAGGACTCGGGTCTTTTTAGCAAATATGTTACATTTCTGACATACAGATCCTTGTCATTTGATTGGTGATACTCGCATCACGTGACATTCATTATTGCTCCCATTCATGCCGGGGCTCAAAAGGTCCCATTCGCCCATGGCGAATGGGATTTACTATTCAACAGTAAGGATCATCCTTGTTCCCATGGCTTTTGAACAGTCCACCCTCACTCATTTTGAACAGCAGAGAGCTGCAGACCAAAACCTGGGGAGAAGGTTGTGACCCGATTTGTGCTGCTTGACAACCACACAAGCGATGACAACAGATGTGCCAACGTTCGTGTCCATTTCAGGCACTGATTGAAATTTTAAAGGACTAAAATGCAGCGCACTCAAATCTACATGTCAGTTATATAAAACAAAATTGAGTGGCTTTACATTGCGAAAGGAGAGGAACATTATTGCTCAGTAAAATCTGGACTTTTCCATTTCACTTGGCTTCATCTCATGAAATGGAAAAGTCCAGATTCTACCTTTCGATAATATTCCTCCCATTCCACTCTGAGCCAATCAATATTTGTATACTTTTAAACCAGCGTCAGCTGTGTGTCCAAACCCTTACTGATATTTGACATCACATTTCAGTATATCTGGTTATTCAATTTTATCGAAAATATAACATGAGTGGTATCAATGTATAAACTAAGACATTGATTTGTCAAGTAAATATCTGTCCATCGACGGAGTTTGGATGGAAGGTCTCAGATGGGTTTACTTGGCACTGTTGAATGCAGGCTTCTCCTGTTGCAGCTTGGCAGCTGACATCACAATACGCGACACCATGAACAGCACGACCAAGTTTACCTAGAAAAACAAAAGTCGAGGGAAGAGACTCTTCAAAACTTCACACCAATTTTTGGAGGTAAATTTATTAAATTGTATTTGGAAAGTATTATTTAAAGCTACAGTCCATCATTTGCAGCTATCCAAAAAGTAGCTGACGTAATTATTGTTGAAAAACATACTTGGTTGAAATATAGTAAGGGGACTAAACTCCCTGTGAAATTATTCTTTCTGGCAAGCTGTCATTTTGAAGAAATCAAGAAAAGAAGGCCTTTCCAATGATGCCTCTAAAGACGCATCGTTGGAAATTTCGGCTAGTAGTTCGTTTTTTTAATTTGGCGAAGCGCGCAAGCGTTGACATGACTCTAATGCTATAATTCATCGGATCAGTGCGCGACATCGCGTAGCTGCAATCAGCTCAGTGCAAATGTGACTCGGACGCTGAATTCAGGCCCCATTCCAAACATGATGCAGCAACTTTTGATTTGAAATCGAGATCCTAGAATGCTGTTTTTCTCGGAATATACAGCTGAAGCTGAGCTGAAAGTTCCTCAGGTTAGTTGTTCAGCACTCTTCTTTAGATTTTGAACATGTTTGTTGCTTCAAATGAAAAAAATGCACAAATTACAAATGATGGACTGTATCTTTAAATAAGTAAATGTCTCAAGTCATTTTGGTCAATAGTACCTGATAGTATCGATTTCCAGACTCACTATGTAATAATGTCTTGCACGATACAATATCTCCCATATGGAGCTAGATTCTTCACAATGTTTTGACTAGTATCAGTCATTAGTTCCAAAATATTTAAAGCCTCACATTTTTTTAAGTCTCATGCCCATTGATGAACTTCCAAGTCCGTAGGAAAAAAGTCTCAAGTGAATTAGAAAACTCTCGAGTCACTTTAGGTCAAATCACATGTCGAATGGAAGTCAATTCAACTAACTCCATACAAGTTTCAGGTTATTACTGTAATAAAGTCTTAAATCAAGTCCCAAACATGCTAAGAATCATACTCATATCAAGTCCAATTCTCATTTTGTCCCAGTATTGTACAACAAGTTCCAACCTAAGGCTAAGTTTTTATTAAGTCGTTCTGGTTATTTTAGTCCCATGTTAAAGGTAGGTTAGATCATTTGTCATTTGTGAAATTTCTTTTGGTTTGAGGCAACAAAAGTGCTCAAAATCTAAAGACGGGTGCTTAACAACTAACCCGATGAAGGTTTAGCCCTGTGAATGCTGTATATTCGGAGAAAACAATATTCTGGGATCCCGATTTCAATGCAAAAGTTGCTGAGTCATGTTTTGACTCAGTCATGAGTCACGCACTCAACCAACGAATAAAACAACCATGTGCGCATGTGGATCGCGTCAATGCTTGCGCACACCCATTCATGGATTCGCCCAATTTCAAACCAACTACTAACGAAAATTTCAAAAAATGCGTCGCTTGACGTATCTTTGGAAATGGCCTTCTTTTATTGTTTTCTTCAAATGACAGCATGCCAGAAAGAATAATTTCACATGGAGTTTAGTGCCATTACTATCTTTAAACCAAGTAAGCTTTTCAACAATAATTTGGTCAGTTACTTATTGGATAGCTGCAAATGATCTGCTCTACCTTGAAGTCCCAAGTCATTCTGTTGCTTGATTCTCGAGTCCTTGACAATGTTATTCAGTCTCACTTTTCATATGAACAATAACAATTCTATAAAGTTTAGTCAGACTTCTTAACATCCTCAGCAGGATTGATATCTCTGGAATGATGCGAGACACATCAAGACAACTTACCAACAGGATGGGGATCATGCCTCCCAGGAACGCCCAAATACTGCCGTCAAGCACAGACAGCCAACACCTAGCAAACAAAACAACATAGCAGCATTTAAACAGTAAATTCACAATTCAAAAGGCGTGGCTAATGCAATCAAGTAATTAAATAAGCAAGACAGACGCTTGTGTTTTAGGCTTACAAAGTAATTCAATATAACTATACCTCATACAAATTCATGATTGAGAGCCAAATTCTCTTTGGCCCATTCATTTACCACAAGCACCCACACAAGGATTTATGCAAAGGGTAAATGCGCAGGCATAGTAGACAGACTACCTGTGCACTAGTTAACAATGCATATGCTTTACGAACCAATTGTTGAACTAGTGCAGTCATTGGCCGTGTCACGGGCAGAGCTCTGTTTGATCTCAGTTTCTTGCCCCGGGGTCACGCACGCATGGCCCGAGAACCTACGCGAGTGAAAAGTTGAAATCGTGTGCTTTATTCTGATACCAAAAATAACTGCTTTTTGACACAATTGGAAGTGTTGTTACGGCGCATGAAACAAAAAGCATACTTTTTAGCAACACAAGCGAGGGCCGATTGTTTTTAGGTGTACATTCGATTCTTAAAGGGAAGATACAACATTTGCAAACATCAAAACATGAAATGATCGAATTATCACGAAATACCTTACTGAATTGTTAGGGACTGACAGTCTAAATCATCCTTTAAAATCATGGCTCCTGGTGTGCTGACATTTTTAAGAAAAACTGTATTTTTCCAACGCTGATCGGCCGACCAGCGTTGGAAAAACTGGCGTTTTTTCAAAAACTGTTACTAAGTTTTCATATTTAGTTATTCTGACTTTTCTTTGCAATTGATTACACACCTGTGAAGGGGAACAAGCCCACTAGACTGATCCTCTGAGCTTACAATTCCCCAAGTGTATTAATTGTTCTGTTTCATTTTAAGTGGGGTCAGGGAACCAGACTACAAGAACATGATTGGTTTTCTTGGTTTTTCCAGCATCTACAGGCCCAAAACGTGAAACAAGTCAGTTTAACAATATTTCTATAACATACTTATCCTCCAAATCCATTTTTTTCTGAAAATTACAGCAAAGGCAAATGTTGTACATTCCCTTTAAAAAAGGCCAAAAGAAATGGCAAGTTTCAGTAGGTAAAGGATAGTGTACGCTTCATTTACATGTGAAACACATGCAGGAGACTTTTATATTTTTGTTCCAAATCGCCGGTTGAAAAATGAAGATTTTTGTGAGATTTCAGCTAATTGCAATCATGGCCTAACAAAAATTGTGAAAAGCATGCCCGAATTGCATGCAATGAATGCTTATGAATATTAAGCAGGTCATCTGAAGCTTGACCAATCAGTGGGCGTACATCTTTATTTGGGGTAACAAGGTCATAACTTTTCTGGCTTGAAAAATGGCGATCATCTTTTCGTGTTGTTAAAAATTGAGGTTGCTGGAAACATCAGGTGTAAATGGATTTCTTAAGATATTGACGACATGATGGTCAGGAGATTTCTTGTACATAAAGGTTCATTCTTTCCTTTGATTACCTCAAAATTTGGTCGACAAAAAGGAAATTTCATCACATATTTTTTTTAGTTGATTTGTCCTTGAAATGCATCGAATTCCTTTTTTTGAGAAAAAAATACCTTGATAGATGTACTTATTAGGTATTTTACTACCTAAAACAGCTTTGTTTATATGGATTTGTTGTGGTTTGGTTGCGAATTTTCTGAAGCCTTATTTACCGCCATCGTTTGCTAGCCTCGCGTTGCAGTCAGTTTGTGTGGACGAGAAATACGACCAGCTACGCGTGACACGGCAACTGACTGTAGTGCACTTTATGAAAAGATGGGGGCCCACGCACAGCAAAGTTTTGCCGCAAGGACTGACATAATTTTGGTGACTACGTATAAGGTACAGGGTTTATTTCAGGTTGACAGTCGATATTAGCTCCCCTCGATATTGGAAGTTGACAAACTAGTTCCCTCGGCTTCTCACTGGGAACTAGCTTGTTAACTTCAATTACCTTGGGGATACCGGAGCTTAGTACTATAAACCCTCTCATTATGTTATATTTGTATACTAATTAATGGGAATTTAACCAAACTCAAGACAAAATGGAGCTTACTCAGTATGATCAAACTATCTTGAATACACCATAATTCATTCCGACTTAAAGATTTCATGTACATTTCTAAGTTTTCTCTTAAAAACTGAGCCCGTATTGAGCTCAGAGTTTCGCAGTGCAATTGATGTTCATATCTTCCAGCGTCATGATTCAACAACAACTGGTGTATTGTTCTTAATACTTACAGATCATGGTCTTTGTACTTATCGAAGAAAATTCCAGATGTGGTTCCAACCACAATGATGGGAATTCCTTTGGGAAAAAAGAGATTGATTGATTGATTGACTGATACATCCATTGAGACTTGATCCAATTCTGTCATGCTATCCAAATATATGGAATCTGTGCATATATAGTGGATGTCACTGTGCGGTCTACTCAAAGGGCCATTTAACAATTGTCGACTGCTGTGATGTGAGACATGCCGTTTTTAACACCTGAGGGGCGCATAGCACCCAAGGCGAAGCCGTGGGTGATATGCGTTAAAAATGGGTTAAAAATGCCACATCCCGCATCACAGGAGTCAACAATTGTTTGTTGTATCACTCCAATACGTGAAAATGATAAAGGTTTGTAACTTACAGTACAAGAAAATAATGCCGGAAAACAGTGATAACAGGGAGCTTTCCTGCTGGACATGAGACTGAGCGGTTGCAGTTCTCAGTCACAAGGCGGGCGGGCCAGCGCGCGGGCCGGCCCTACACGCACCCGTGTAAGACCACAATTTTAAGGACCACAATTTTTGCACTGCAAAATTCATTCAACAGTAAGATTTCAAGTTAAAGTTTTGTTAAATTTTATATTACACTGTTTTTTAACAATCTCTCCGAACTGTTATCGTGTCCTTTTGAATTCTGTTCAACAGCCCGGACTGCTTGACCTACCCCATCCAATGGCAAAGTAGACCCACAAGCGGGATTTCTCGCTCTCAAAGACGGCAATGATCTGGCGGTAGAGATGAATACCCTCCACCAGCATCCAGCTGAACATGGACAGGTAGAAGAAGTGCAGGGCAATGGTGATGAACTGGCAAACCAGCTGAATCAAATATGAAAAGCCAAAAGAGAAAACATAATCAGCCGTCAGTGAGTTACCTATGCTAATTGGGTATCTTGTGGGTGAAATTTGAATACAGGTCATTCCATACATTATGGGTCCAAAGTGTGACATTTTTCCTGTCCCTGTTGCCTCTTAACTTGTCATAATTTGTACTTCAACTATAATTCATAAATACAAATGTACCTCAGGCAGTTTACCAATTCCTTTTGGTCAAGAGCCCGTCATGTGGGTGGTTTTTAATAAGGGAATAAATGTGTGCTCCGGAGGTTTTTATCACTCGTTTAATACCGCTTAGAGTCTGGGTGCTGATAATTACCCGAGCCGGAGGCGAGGGTAATTATCAGCACCCAGACTCTAAGCGGTATTAAACAGAGTGATAAATACCGACCGAGCACATATTTATTCCCATTCATAAATACCTTATCCGTAAAAAAATATCAAATAATTTGTTCAAAAAATCCCGATTTTGTTCAAAAGTTCACTTCATGCTTTTTGAAACATCCCTCTAGCAAAATAATGGAGTGTTCAGCTGGCGAGTAAGATGTAAACAACCCTTTTATGGAGATTGACGCGCGCGTAACATGTTCTGCGCGATGTCACGCAGAACGCACCTGGGGCGTTGCGTTTTGAATTTAGAACTATAAAATTCTGACTCGCTTGTAGTGTTGCGCATGCCTACGTGAGGATTGTGAACATTCAACCAATGAAACGGTAAGAGGCACTGGATTTTTAGGAGTCCACATTTTATTGTGACACTGGAAAGTGTTTAAGACCAGCTAGCCATGTCTTTATCATCCGTTTAAAACCGGCCACGTGACGGGCTCTCGACCAATAGGAATAGCTAAACTGTCTGAGGTATTTATGAATGGTTGATAAATCACCAGCTGGCTGGTTTTAAACACTTTCCCAGAGTCACATGAAATTTGGACTCCTATGAAATCTGGTCCCTATTACCTTTTTATCAGTTGAACTTTCACAATCTTTACTTGGGTATGCGCAATACTACAGTGAGTTCATATTTCATAGAGCCCTAAATTCACACCACACTAGCACTGCGGCATTCTGCGCCAGATTTTTAGCACTACTCGCTAGAGGCAAATACCATAACATAGCTACAGGGGTGTTTCAATAAACATGAAGTACACTTCTTGAACAGAATTCTTGGAAATTCATAAGTTTTGACTTGTTTTGGCTTTTGACCAAAAGGTATTTATGAATGGGAATAAATATGTGCTTGGCTGGTATTAAACAAGAAAGTTTAAAACCGGCTCGAGGCCTCATTGCCGATAATGTTCCTCGCTGTCTGCTAAGGCCATTATCAGAATCCAGGCACCAAGCCGGTTTTAAACGTACTTGTATAAAACTGGCCAAACATATATTTATTCCCTCTTTAAAAATGACTTTAAACTATTTTTGGATTAGTTGGACAGGCAGGGTAGTATACAAATATAACATGGTTTGAGGGTGGACAGTCGATATTTGCTCCCCTCGGTATTGGAAGTTGACCAACAGTTTGTCAACTTCCAATACCGAGGGGAGCGAATATCGACTGTCCACCTGAAATAAACCATGTTATATTTGTTTTACTATACCTCATACATATTCAGCGTCGATTTGTTTTGTTTTTTTCATTGCAGTATGCACCTCAAACAATTTTTTTTTGAAAAACTTGTCCAGTTCACCAAAAGAATCGTATTGCTCAACTTCACTAGTTCTGTTCGTTTACAATACAGTGCAGCTGTAAATACATGAGGCATCTTTATTGTCCATAAATATTCCCTAGTTTGGTATCATTGAGCTTGGGAAAATAACGTGCCGTGCAACCATCTCTTCGAGTAGCTCATTTGGGCGATGTTCGTGCGTTCGTGCTACACCCGTGCGACAGTTCCACGATTGCTTTGTAAAGTGCATGCGTAGTAGTAACCCGTGCGACAGTCTACTATGCATGCGTATTTACCCTGTGTGTGAATCCTCGCGCGCGCGCTTGGTGAACAGCAAAAATAACATCTGGCACGTGATGGTGAATTGACCAGTGAGAGTTCGGCTCTCGATCATGAATATGTATGAGGTATAGTAATTTGCTTTACATACTCACTCTATTTAGAAAGAAAGCACTAAGAAGTACATCCAGAATTACAAAATCATGCATGTCAGATGTAACAGGGTCAGGCAAAAATGTGGACATATATGACATACTAGTTTGATCAAATATTTGAATTCCTCAGGGTGTTTCCTGTTCGCGAACTCATTATTATTTTGTAATCCCACAGATAACTTTGACTAAGAGGTCTTTGTGGCCTATAATTTGGACTGATTGTAAAACTAGAGAGAAAAGCACTTGTGGAGAAACGCACTTGTGACTTGTGGCTCCAACTTGGGAGATTTTGTTCGGGAAAAACCTCCAACTTGTGGGTCAGGGGAGGGGGTGTTTTACATTTAGACATGGACCCAGAGATTGGCAACCATTTTAGGGGAGGTTTGGGGGAGGAGAATATAAACAACACAATGGACATGGCTACCTATGGTAAAATTGATCAAAAAAATTGTCACAGAGGTCGTCATCTTTAATTTCTCAATAAAAAACACATTGCCATCTTGCTCCTAAGTGATCACCAGGCAGCTTTTTGGGTTCGATTTTGTGTTGTTTTCTATGAGCATGCATTTTGGTGGAGTGGAACCCTCAGACACTGTTGCAGAATCTCATAATTCACGGACTTTTGGTTTTATTTATCTAAAACCATCCACCTGATAATCAGATGACTTACGATCAAAAATGACCTCCCATATGCAATTTCAGGTACAATTCTTTGAAACTCTCAGGATCACTAATCGATACCTCAAGAAGTTCAAACCCACTTGGTGCCATTTTTTTTCTGACCCTTTTATGGGCGGGGTCATGACTTTAAAAAGTGGGGCCTTGGTGCACAAAAAAATTATTCAAATAATTTCACTTTTCTTTTAGCATTTGGACAGCTCACCCAAGAGCGTACATCGTGAGAAAAAAAATCAAAAATTGTCACTCTTCAGCAATGCAATTTTCTTCAGCAAAGGGCAATGTTTATAAATACGCAATGTGAAACTGTTATGAAATTGTCATAACTCAAATGTTGCACAGCGTGAAATGTTGCGCAACTTGCGCAATAAATTGTGGTAGTTTCGTGAAATCGGCTACTGCAGTAGTAGAATAAGTAGTAGTATAAGTAGTCTAGTCTAGAGTAAGGAAAAAAACAAAGTTTTGAAAAGGTCCGTAAGACTATTTTGCATGACCCAGTTGCACTTACCTTATTTTCTGTCTTGTCAACAGCGACTAGAAAGAGAATCAGCGCCACCAAGGTAACACTCATCAGATGCATGTGGATGACGATGCGCTCCGAGTTCAGGGATGACCTGTGGATCAACAAAAAATCATCAACAGAAATTCAGTATCAACACCGTTGTGTGAAAGTACCTTGGGAAAAAAGGACAAATATGTGTGGATGAACAGAAATTCAACACTGTGCAAGCCAGGGTCCGGCTGCATATGGAGGGGAACAAAATCCGCATCCCACCGTGGACCAAGGCTAATATAGTGGGGTTCCCTCGGCTTTCCTCATGCAGTGTTGCCAAACCTCTTTGTTGACAAAAAATTCAAATTCATTCAGTTACATACTGGTTCGTTTACCGTTATAATGCTTGCTGTGGAGTCTTTGTCAACAATTGTGGTGTCATGAAAGTAAGTCCAAAATTCAAAAACAGTGGCGTCTGGAAATAAGGAACACCACAGGCCGAGTGTTTCCTAACATGGTGCACTTGAACAAATCTCGGAAACCCCAAGCTACCATTTGAAAATTTCTTTAAAGCTGAAAAATTCTGATAAACCATTATTATATCCACTCACATACCTGCAAACTCTAAGCGTGTCAGACATTTTATTATTCAAAAAGGGTTCATTGGTGCACTTCAAGATAGAATCGGGAAAGCACACTATAGAGATTTTCTGTTAACTTTGTATCAGGTAGGTAAACTCAAGATTTATGAACAAGAACATTTGGAGCATGATGAAATTTCACTTACTGTGAAATTGGAGGTAAAACTTTTGCTCTAGATAGACATGAGAGGCGAAAAATCAAAGTGCGCCACGTATGAGGCTGCGCCACTTTAGGGGACACAGATAAAATAATACTGTACTGACCTCAGGAAGAGCAAGAGTCCCACTGCCAAGGCAAGAGCAGAAATGGACACCAGAAGACCCACTTTGGTGATGATATCAAGTGCTCCATCCGCGGGAGGTGGCTATCCAAAGGAAATAAACTTATGCATTATTCATTTTGAATCACTTAAATTGTCACATGGGGGTACATGAATTACTTTTTAACCTCTTGCTGTGAGGTCGCACATGTCATTTTGCACTACAGTGTGAAAGAATACCACAAAATCAGTCAGTTGGCTGTTTCGACATAAAGAACAACGGTTGTGGTATTCTCCCTCAACTCTGTACAAAATTTAGCTATGGACAATACCATAAAATAAGTGCATTTTCAGTAGGTCAACTTGACAGTTTGTTGACATGGAAAACCCAGTAAATACTTGATTGACCTTGAAAAAAACCCACATAACCTTGCTCAGAAAAGTAGGAGTACTATTTCTGTATGATTTTGTTTATTCATGAAAAAGTCGTTGAATCACCTCAGCCCACCATTTTGAAATTAATTTTGTCCGACTATCTTCGGAATCGTGCTGCAACTCTGAAAACTCTGTCCCAAGTAAAACAGCAATTCATTTACTTCAAACACAAGCTGTGAGTGTCTTGTATCAACTTCAAGTGATAAGTAGTACAATAACAGGCTCCACAACGATCATGACAGCTGGATAGCTGGCAAAATAGGTAATTAGCGTCACCTAACTTATGCCACCTAAACTGTTGGGCAAGTTACGCCATAAATTGTTGCGCTAATACGCCATAAATTGTTGCACAAGTCACGGACTTAAGCACTATGAAACTTTCGTGAAATTGTCATAACTGAAATGCTGGGCAACATGGAAAGTTGTGCAACTTGCGCAATACATTGTGACGCAAGTGGGCTTACGCCATTGCATAACGTTACGTGAAATCAACATTGCAGGTTAATTTCAACCAACGATAAGTGAAGAATATCTATTGAAACTCAATGCTAAAAAGCCCAAACAGGAGCATCTGCAACTCGCCTGCGAAGCCAACTCGCCTGCAAAGCCGCCTCCCTGCAAAGTGCCCAAGGCCAAGCCTTGTAACAGAAGATTTAGTGCTGACACAGTCAGCACAAATATAGAGTCAGAAAATGGCAATTGCATCATTGTAAAATTAATGTTAAAAAAACTTATAATAATAATTTTTCTAGAATCAAAAAAAAAAAAGCCTAAGTTTAGTCATGGAATAATAAATTTACAACTGTCAAATTATTTGAAGCTCGCAATACGGCAGAACTTTCTGTGCATAAGAGTTGCACCAAGAAAACACAAGCTTTATGAGAGGGTAGGAGAAACCCAACATAAAAAAAAGATGTTGGTGGTGGTTTTTTTTACCAAAAACCATCAAATTGAAAATTTGTTTTGAGAAAAAAAATTGAATTAGTTGCAGAGCTCGGGGAGATCAATGAGGATTTATGTTCCCACCTCTTCACCCAGCCACATCAGCACTGCATAGTTGGTCATGTGACTGCAGGTACACTTGGTGGATTGAACCTTCTCGTCTGAAGTTACACAACCCTCTTTTGACCACTCTCCGATGATTTTGCTGCAAATAGAAGAGTGAAAAAAATAGGACCAATGGTTGCCTTGTTAGTGATGTTCTGAATAAAGAGATACAAGTTTTGAAGTACGTGTGAAAAGGGCGATTGTGTAAGAAACAAATAAATATTATCTCAGAGTTCAGCCAAAAATAACAAACAAGTCAATTGTCTTGGCCACTCGCCAACATTTCAATTGGTCTTTTCTTAATATCTGTGCGTGCATAACACTCTCCATCTTTTTAGCCCTTAAACAGTTAATTACAGGGTTAACAGCCAATTGGCTTACAAATAATCAGCCTTAAATAATGCAAACTCGATGTCAGAAAAAATTAACATGCCCATCCACATCCAAGTTTCAAACAATTGGATAACTGAGATATAAATAAGATGCGACATTTATGCCGAAAACTTGAGGTACACAAGACAAGCAAGTAGTGCCAGACAAATTATCCGCACTATTTTTTTTAGTTTCTCTCCAAAAAAAAGATGATTTTAAATTTGCTAATTTTCTAGCAAAACAAAAGTTATTCACTTTTGAATAACACACTGAGCAAAGAAATCAACCCACTTTTACTTGGGGAATATTTACTTTACAAATTTGAAAATCATTTATAGCCTGATAACAATTATCTTTTTGCGTAATCCGGTTCGTTAGTGTGACGTCACCTCCAGCACTTTCTGCATGAGTGGAACTGGAAGTTAACGCAACTCGAGCGTTTGTAGCCAATGTGCGCTAGTCACCAATGGTGGGCGCGCGTGTATGACGTTTTTACTAATGAACCGGATAGGCACAAAAACAAATAAAAAGGCATATGTTTAGAAGGTTGAAAGCGTCCAAAATGCAAAACAGGAGTTTTTTTTTATTTACATAAAACATACAAATTGAAAAGTTGTTTGGAGAAAAATCCAAAATGTTTTAGAGCAAGGGTAAAACCACTTTAAAGACAAAAAAACTCTCAGATCCTGCAATTGAAGGATGGAAATCCCTGAACGACATTTCAATTTTTTACAAGGGACCTCACATTTGGGGAGTCGGGTTGGCGTGGCGGTTTCTTTCCTCACTTTCCACTGCTGTGACCCGGGTTCGCATCCCGCCTGGGCCAACATGTGGATTGGGTTTTCAGTCCCTGCCTGATTCCGTGGGTTTTCCCCTGAATATTCTTCTGGAGTCTTCCTCCCACCTCTAAAACTGTAATTTCTTCTCATTGTCTCCTGTCTACAGGGTTTTTTTTTTTCAGGCTTGCGAGCTACAGTGCCTAGAGTGCTTTTGAGGAACCCTTGGTTTCATTACCAGAAATAAAAAAATAATAATCATAATAATAATAACATGCACAAATACATAGTGCCTTTTAAAATGTTAACTGCAAAGTTAAAAGAATTTGTAAGCATACTTATGTGGTTTCCAGAAGTTACACACTTGGTTTTCCAAAGGTTTACGCTACAAAAGACAGAATAAGGCATGGGTTAATTGAAGGATATATACACAGTCACAAGTGAACTTTAAAACCTAAATGTTGCATGCATGGCCCTAATGTCAAACTGCATGATCCAGTGAGTGTCGTTACCATTGAAACAAGGAAAAACTGATAAATTTGTGACCTAAGGTACATGTAGAAGGAGATAAGCTATACACTTTGACTGATATTGTGTGCAGTTCAACTTGATGAATGATTACACTAAAAGTTTGAAGTTATTATCTTGTCTTGTTTTTCTGTTACAGATACATTAAACCTTGACAATCTCCAATTCCCGAGAATCAAACCTTGACAATAAAACAAAGAAATGCCATCGTGTCTGAATGTCCAAAGTGTCAGCTCGTTGGGTCCCAAAGCTCCTTGGACCTGATCACAATCTTTCAAGAGACACTGTTGCCGTTTTTTTAGTTCATGCATTCAATTTTTTCGTCGATCAAATTTTGCCATTTTGCCATTTTCAAGGTTTAATTCTCAGGAACAGGTGACTGTCAAGGTTTACTTATCTGTAACAGAAAAACAAGAAAAGTTAATAACTTCAAAGATTCTGTGTAAATCACTCAACAAGTTGAACAGCACAAAATATCAGTCAAAACTGTATAGCTCATCTACTTCTACCAATAGGCCACGAACTTATCAATTACCCTCGTAAGTCACCAAAAGAATATAAAATAAAAGAAGACTTAACACTCAAGATTTCCTGGCATGCCTTTTGTCATAAATATAACATTTAAAATGGGGAGGGGGTGGGGAGAATCCAGAGATGCCAACTTTTGAATCCTGTTGTCAGGGAGGATTTGTAAAGTACAGCACGCAATGAGCAATTATATAGAGAGAGGGTGTGTCTTGAACTTTGAAGGAGAATGTACATTACTACTTCTATAGAATTGTAAAATTACTTAGTGACTAAATTTAAATTAAATTTAAATTTTAATTAATAATAATAATATTACTTAAAAAAGTTAACACTTTTTGAAAAAAACACTTGAAAAGTGCAGTTCCGCCCTTGTGATGTCATCATCTTCACTGACTTTGGTGAAGTAAGTGCACAACGAACTCGTAGTCGTACCAGACCGAGCATTCGCGTAATCCACATGTTTTTTACTTCCGACATGCCGTCGGACATCATCGCGACCTCAATATTCAATGCTGATATATCAATGCTACATACACGACATACTGTGCAGAATGCATGATACAATGCCTTCTTTTACTTTTATATGCACGGCCACTCACGACTACTGTACTCGGGTTTAAATTTCTGGGACCATTTTTTTGACGTTTTTTTTTTGCTTTCACGGTAGTCTCCGTCATGTTGCACGTTGAACAGAGTTGAATAGCGCATGCATAATGCACTGCAAAACAACGCACATGTACATAACTCATGACCAAATATTACGTTTACACACCGAACGCAAAGCGAATCTTTTTTTCACGAAATAGATATGACAGTTGTTAGCGTAAATATCCGACTCCAAAAATGTGGACTCGTTGATAGTAGTGCGCATGCGTACGTATGATAATTAGGACAGCGACTGGTCACATGAGAGGGATTAACCAATAGGGAAAAGGAGTCCGATTTTCACAGGAGTCGGATTTTCATATGACAATGTATCGCCAGTAGCTCCATGGTATCACACAGCGCGGCAACAAATAGACGTACAGTCAAGTCGCAAATTGGTGTTTCCGCCGGTCTTTTGACTTGTGTGTACCACATGTACATGTACATTGTAATCACCGTGCACCATGCATACGGTAATGATACCAGTAATTATAGTAATACTTTATTCGGCAATTTACATGTATATACACAATTACAATTAAATATGAAAGAAAAAGTGTAGAAACAATAAGAAACCAAAGTAAACACAACACACAAACGACAGGACTACACGGTTTTGCCACAAGTTTCCGTGCCTCAACTTGCTTCAATGTAAGCTTGGGTCAGTCTTGATTCACAATCCACCCTAAAATAAACTAGGTCCACTAAAATTAATTTCCATTCGGCAAAAGTGCTGTACCGCATTCAACCAAACCTTTCGACAGCAGAAATGTGCTCCAGACTTGAATGAAGTCTATAAGACAATGGGTTCAAGGGTTAAAATAACCAGCCTATAGAAATGTGTGAAATCGCAACGGCTCATGACGTCAATGACCTAATATAGAACATACAGGCATAGACCATTATGATTGACGCGCATAATACAACGATCACATATATACTTCGTACGGCATGTAATGAGAATTTAACAATAACATGCACGTGCACTGTTGTGCGATATGCTTGGTGTGTGTGATTGTTACTAAATTCTCACAACCAGGCTTACTACGGAAGTATGCAGGCACGCTGCAGCTAGCCGTGTAGTATACGGGTTTCAAGCCCGAGTGCTTCAGGCGGGCTTGGTACGGTATGCATGCTATATGCATTGAACGGCAGCGCGTGCGCAGAAAGCAACGTTATAATTGTTACGCCACTGCAAAAATGCCGATAAAAAAGAAAAAGGCGCATTAATATTGCAAATCCGGGAGGATATCTTAAGTGCCCGTACGGTCGGGAGTTTAGTTGATTTTCCGGGAGCCTCCCGGTGAAATCGGGAGGGTTGGCATCTCTGGAGATTCTACAATTCCAAAAATCCAAACATGATCTAAGGATATGGCCGTACTGAGAATGAAGATGAAGGAAAATGAGAGGCAAAGAGTAATTCTAAGTTTTCATGAAATATATTTTTACTGTATGGGCTTCATTAATGTAGTGCTGCAACCGAACCGCCAAACCGAACTAAAAATAGCGAACATGGCCGTCCAAACCAAACCCGAACCGAACCGAACCAAACAGAAATGGTCGGTTTGGAAGTTTGGCAAGTTTTTTTATATCGCTGGGAATGCTAATGCTTGCAATGAAAGGGCAAAATTGAAGCGCACGGATGATTGAATTTACCGTGTTCACAAATCACTGCACTTAAGTTCATTGTTTGGTGGACTAAGCTCCACGATTGTCCGTCTTCGATGTGCATAATTTGTATAACGTATCACTGCTATATAAGTGTACATATGTGAACATATATAATGCATGTACAGTATCGCGCGTGGTAAATAGAATTTACTGCATCATACAATCGATCAATAAGATGACCCCCAAAATAGACAGGGCGCATGCGTGCAGGCTAGAGGGGTCACTGGTATTGCTCACGATGCAGTATTTATTGCATGTATTGGGGAAAACCGGTTAATCAGGGCAGCAGCAATTACACACGCGTTGCGCTGTTTGCATAGATCGTGCATTTCGGTTTTGGGCGTATCGGCTTTGATGACGCATCGGTATGGAATACAAACGCAGATATGCAAATACACGTACAAAATACGTACAAAATTTCAAGTTCTCCACAGGTTTGTGCACAAACACGGATGCGCCCAGCAGGCATCACCTTGTACACAAGACAGCGCTGTAGTAAGTTAATATAGCTTTATGGATCCATCAGACAATATGACGAGATTACGACCCCACATTTTGGACGTACCTCTTCATGCCCGAGTCTGAAGGACACAGGCATCGAGATGGTCCCGTCGCTGACCACACTGATGGACAAGATGTCACTACCCACTCTCTTGGTCTTCCCATTCGGGGGTGTCTTATCCTGTACGTCGTTTTTGTCTAAAACATCTGCTATGCTGGAGAACTTCAGGACCACAACCACCAGCGAGTCGTTGACTGCAGAAATCCAAGCCAATGAATTTATTATTTTCACATTAATGCAAATCAATGATAAAAGGACATAAATTTTCCGCAACTGTGTGAAGTCATAAGGACATTAGGCCCAAATAAATTCTCCGTTTCCTGGTATGCGCGCGTGCGTCGTCATAGCCATGCGCGTCTGCAAAACTAAAAAGGTTTTTTTTTTTCGATATAAGATGATGTCTCAAAACTGCCAAACTCACTGGTTTGAATGGAATCCTGCTGCTGCACAATTTCAACATGATTTAAATGGGGTTACGATCGAGTTTAAGCTTTATATGGCCTCTCTGGGCTCCCATATATTTTGCACTAAATTTAGTAGGGCACCATTTGCAGACGGTGTTGTAATTGTGTAATTGTGTGTCTGGAAGCCAGAAGGAGCAATGGTCGTGTATCTGGAACCTGTAAACGCTTTTTAATTAGCGCAATATGTAAGGGAGCAGACTAATGACCTGCCTAGCAGCTCGTGCAGGATATCGATGTCGCTGTGCGGTCTAACATTACTACCGTTTTCTCTGATTTTCGTCTAGACTATCCAAATTTCCCGAAGAATGTTCGTGTCGGTCGAGATCGTAAGTGGGTGCAGAATTCTCAAGCCTTGTGGCCTTACTGAGTTCACCCCAAGCTCCACTTTGAAGTATATTTTTGAGAATTTAAAGGGGATCAAAGCGTCATCTGCAACATCAGCCGACATTTGAAGAAGTGAAAAGTTGGGGCGAAAAAACATGCGTCGCCGCACCGCTTTTGTGGCAAGCTCCATACCAGAAACCGGAGACTTTTTTGGCCTCACCTCATTCACTTTCTGCATTAGAAGTGTGCATACTCAAATGTCCAGTTTGATATTTTAATACCCTCCATATCCCTGGCATATTCCCGTCTTGTTAATTACATTCTGAAACAAAGTTTCATCACTCTGCCTGAAAGCACAAGTCCGCACTTTGCTAACCTACCAGCACATTATAGTTGATAACAGGATATCATGAAGCGCATACACAAACAATCTTACTCGCTTACACTGCAATTATTCAGAATTGTCTGCAACTGTAAGTAGAGAAAGACTGTTGTTGTCCGGAGGGGCATATCTTACCAGGCAAGTTCTTCACATTTCGGTCATTTAGGAAAGCTTCTTTGGAGATAGTGACCTCAGTCCAATCCTTGGGATTTTCGCTAGAGAAGTTGTGCACGTAACCTTTCTCCTGAAATTGCTCCTTTGCTGATCCGCTAATAAGTCCCACTGTACAAAAAAGAAAAAACAAGCAAATACGTTCATCTGCTTTCCAGTTGGCAGTGTGGTAGCTAGCTAGTCGAGTCCATCACAAAGCTGGCCTCAAGAACAGAAGTAAATCACAATTTATTCAGTCCCAACTTAAGTCGGGTTCTATTCTATGAACTGTGACAAACACATTGCTTTGTTATTGTTCATGTTTATCCTCCCTCACTTTTGACTGGTCTTGTGATGGACTGAGCTACAACAACTTTGGAAAAACATTAATAGTATCTATCCCTTCCAAAGAAACAAATCACAAAACCAGTCAACTTTTCCTAAGTCTACAGTGCCCCAAAGCGCCGAAAACTTGAGCCCAAAAAAATTTCCACAAAAATCAGACATTTACCAATGTTGGGCTTGTCAACTTCGATGCGCAAGTTGAATGGCTCAGCTGCAGATTCAGCGACTCCCTGAGCTAGTTCTTCCACCGAGGTGACAATGCCCAGAGGCCCCGCAATGCTCTCCTGAAATGAAGACAAAAAACTGATTCACAGTTTGCGGTCAAGTCTCTTCTTTCCCGATGTCCAACAGGTTTACGAAAAATATGGTGATATATATCATTTAGCCTGTGCACTCTGAATTTCGATGTGGAAGAATTTAAGTATTCGGGCAAAAGTTGGCTGAAACTTTCCAACTGTGTGCACATTCAATCAAATAGTGTTGCTTGTACCCCAAACAGTAGAAAATTACTTCTTTTCCTGCATGAACCTCTTACACGTACGCATATGAGTCCTTTGCCATAAGTACGAGTTTAGATACAAAAAAAATCTTGGGCGTACAAGTATGAGTATATTCTCACAAGTACGACTACAAGTACGAAAAAAATGAACTCTGAAAAATGAAGCATGAGTAGGTGTAGGAGCACTACAACACCGCAGCAACGAATCTTTGCTCACCACAGTGTTGGTTATTAAAATTTGTGGTCTCTCTCAAAGACGACCATCTCTGTAGGAAAACTTCTATTGCGTATTTTGTATTTTAAGCAATAAAGCACGCATTGCACAGGGTTGAAAATGTTCCAAACACGCGCGCTTGTTGCTTGAAATGTGATCGAAATACGACGCAGCCAATGCACGTTACGCAAGTGTTATGCAAGTGGACGCTCAAAATGCCGATACACGTGGCCGGTCTGTAGGCAATGGCGTCATGTGAGAGAGACCTATAGCTTTGCTCAACGTTCATCAAAGGCAAACACAAATCACCGCACACACAATGAGTTCCAGACACTACCACTCCTGAGTAGGCCCCCACAGTACAATGTCTGCGTCGAGTCTATTTTTAAAGGAAAAACAAGCTCAAAATGATCTGGGAAGCTGCGGGCCAACGCATTTGTGTGCATGCATGTGCGAGGTGATTGTGCCATGTGACTTCTGGAAGGAGTAGTGTTTTCATCATCAGTACAAACATCAGGTTTTCGACCCTAGTGACCCAATTTTCTAGGACTGCATAAATTGGTAGGCGGTCAGTGGAGACCCATTAAAGTGAGTTGATATATACCTGAGCCTGAGGGACAAGGTGATTTATAGCCATGGAAGGCTGTTGATGACATCTGTTACTAACCAACCAACTAACGGAGAAACATGATGACTTGTTAACCCGCAGCTGAAAATCAAAATAATAGGTGAATGAAGGCAAAATCTGAAGAACGCCTCACCTCCTGAACTTGCTTCCAGGCCTCTTTGCGGTCTTCATCCAGGATGAGACTTGACACATCCATGTACTCCTGAATTTACATCCAAAAGCCAAAAAGATGAGATTTTGAGCATCCCTTCCAATAAATGAGAAAAAGGGATGAATTACATGAAATTGCTTTGCATTTTATCAGCAGGAAAGTAGCGCTAACTGGAACACAATGATTACGCTAACCTCAGGCTTATTTCAAGGCACATGTGATGATGCTTGCAAAAGCATGCAGATTTTTGGTTGTCAGCGTTTCATTTTCTCTTTTTGTGGGGGGGAGGGGGGAGGGGGGAGGGGGGAGGGGGGAGGGGGGAGGGGGAGGGGGAGGGGGAGGGGGAGGGGGAGGGGGAGGGGGGGGGGAGGGGGAGGGGGAGGGGGAGGAGGGGGAGGGGGAGGGGGGGGAGGGGGGAGGGGGAGGGGGAGGGGGAGGGGGAGGGGGAGGGGGGATGCAAGTTAAGAAGGCAGCTTTGTCTCACACTCAAAAGATTCTCGTCAATGTTGCCGTTCTCGACAAATGCGTTGGAGCCGGCAACGGCAACCAGAAAGTTCCAGGCACTCTTGACAATGTCCACTTGCAGATCGTTGTTCTTCGTGGTGTTGGCATCCACGGTGATGTTACGGATGACATTCAGGCCAGCCTGGACGGCGCTCCCAGTCACGTTCTCCTTAGGATACGCTGACGGGTCTGGCCCAGCATCGCCGTCTATTGTGCCGCCAATAAGGATGAGATCTTCAACCACCGTCTTGACCTATACTCAAACAGATGGGAGACTAGCTTAATGCCATGCACACATACGTTAGACTGATTGGATGCATAGCTGCAAACAAAGCATATTGTCTGGCTGACTTGTTGAGAATATGAGCTCCATGCGCCAACAAAGAATATGAGCTCCATGCGCCAACAGAATAGGGCGCATTTTTACCACTTTTGAGAGCCCCTTGGACGGGATTTGTACTCTACCGCTTCACGGGCGAAGTATGCACGACTTATTTATCCTGAATGTGCACAAAGTTAAGCCATAGCGTCTTCGCACGTGAGCGTTAGGCATCGTTGGCGCGTGAATACGTTCGAATTTAACTTGCGATGGTCTCCCAGACTAATCCCTGCCCCCTTATAATTTCATTCGAAATACGCAGCGTTTGGACTGGGAACCAGTCTAGGTCTCCCCAAACTCTCCTTTTCTGGCCATTGAAGGGGTACTTGTGCACAGAGCCCATAATGGACTGAACCTATATTAACACAAAAGTAGCTGCTTGCTTGAGTGGCAACCAACTACAAAATCAGTCAATATGTCATAGTGGGAGTCAGTCTGGCCCAGTGGTGTTTTCACCTCTGTGAACTGGGTTCAAATCCCATGCAGATTGACATGTGATTTTAGTCCCTGCCTGATTCAATGGGTTTTATCCGGAATAGAGTTCCAGGATTTTCCTCTCATCTCTAAACCGAAGAGCCCTTCGTTGTTCTTCTCTCGCCAATTTGTTTTTAACTTTCTAGGAACATGCTTTGCCATCACCAGACACATTTATAAATGCAGAGAAAGTAACAAATAAAATGTCCTACTTTAGGGGGAAGCCCCTGTGTCGCTTCCGCGACTCTGTCCTCAATGAGTGATGCTGGAGGTGTACCACTAGTCTGTTCAGTAGCAGTCTGGACGGGTTGAGGAGTGGTGGTCATGCCCGGCACAGCTGTAGTGGGGTCTCGACCCTTTGTGGGCGGGACAGGGGTCGCTGCTGAGGTGGTCTGTGAATCCCCAGGTGTTATCGCTTGGTCAGCTGTGGTCTCACTTGCTGGCACTGCTGTGGTCTCACTTGCTGGCACTGCTGTGGTCTGACCTGCTGGCACTGTAGTGGTGTCACCGGCAGCAGTCGTCGACCCCACGACGGTCGTGGTGGCCTCTGCAGGATTGGGAGTAACGGGGGTTGGCATGTCACTTGTTACCTTCCCCATGGCTGTTGTCCCAGTGGTTTGGGAATCCACTGGGGTGGTTATTGGCCCGGTTGTGGGCCCATTGGTGGTTGGCATTAACGTTGTGGGGTCTGAAGAGTGCACGTAACACAGAAACAAGGCTAGTAAAAGCAAGTCTGACACTGCCAAATCTTGACGACGTCAAACCTCAAAACGAACTTAAAATCAAGGTCAGTTAATACTTGAAGAGAAAGCAAAGTAAATTTCATGAAATTGTGGTTTCATTGGGATGCTCACTACTTCCTGTTTACATTTGCGTACAGAATGAATTGACCTATACTTTTTTTTTTAAAAGAACATGGTTCGAGGCACTGATCCATGTTAGCATTACAAGAAGCAAGATACACACGTCATTATCTCGTAATTACAAAGCTGAGAAATTTCATCATTACACCGCTGTTCCACAGGCTACATGCGGGACATTAGGTGTATACGCTAGTTTCATAGGGCTGTATCGTAAAATGCACTATTCATAAGCTCGGCGAATTAAAAAAAAAAATCAGCTGCATTATTCTTAAAAACTGCTCTTATACACTAAATATTCAATAATATGCAATAAGATTCACCCAAAGGGATGGGAAAATAAATCATTTTACATCTTCGTGGGTTAAATTCAATGTAATGTTGGCAGTTACGTGAAAATCCACCAAATCCAAGGCCTCCAATTTGTTGGACGAGAGGCACTACTGAACACAAACAGTCCAAGATAAACATCATTCTTCCCATAAGAAGTAGGTTAAACCTTATATTAACACTGTCATGAAAACATCATTTAGACTTAAAATTTTCCATTGACGGTGGTTTCGAAAGAGCGAAGCCATAAACTCGACTCCTAAAGAGCGAAGCCATAAACTAGACTCATAATGGGGGCGGGGGGATATATTCCCTGGTGGGTTCACTGAACACAAAGTGTGATTTTGCAATTCAACTACACAGTACGCAGGGTTTGCATACAAGTTGTTTACCACGCCCAGCAGCATTGGGCCGCGCCCCATGTGTATTTTGGTGAGACTGGATACAATTTGCCCACAAGAGGGCGTTTTATACGAGCTAAAGCACAGGCATGTACACAAACCTACTTTGGTCCTCAAAACAGCGGTGATTAATTAATTGACATAATTATTACTAGTGGCAATACTAGTACATGTACATGTACCGTGGTTATGCCTTCACACAACTGAGAACAAGTTAGAAAAGCTGGATGGTGTTGTGAATCCAAGTGGAACTTTTAGGCTTTTGCGTTACCAAAATCAACTTCACCTTTTACCTTATATTGTAAAACTATTTCGAAGAACACAAGAAGTTCGTTATTAATCTTTAATACGTAAGTTTAAGCTTTTTCCCAAAAGAAAATTTGTTTAATATGAGCTTGGAAGAACTGCAATGCATACAATTATTATAAATGTCAGCAAAGATCATAATCAACACTTTATAGAGGCCTACATGATCCCCATTTATCCACAGCATTTACAATGCGTTCGATACTACAATCCTTTGTAACAATTTACTTTGCCTCGTGTAATCCCTTGACTGAGATACAACACTGATCCAAATATCTGGTAACTTAAAGCAGAAAACTACATTCAGGCATTCCCAAACGTCTAGTGTCAAAGGAAATTCGGTCTGGAAAGACCATGGAAACTGCCGGAACTAAGTCAACTAGTTTGCTTGCTAAACATTAATTAAGTTGAAGAATTCACAGAACACACTTTTTCTTCAGCTTTTTTTTTTTCACCAGGTGGCAGTGACGCCCGGTTTACGAAGGCAATCTAGTATTTAGGAGCCATGGCCAGGGCGCGATTTTTTTTCTCCCAAACAAGATCGGACAATATCAAAAGAGGGCACTCTGTCTGCGTTATGCATATTCATGATGTCCTGGGCTTTAGAGAATAAAAACAAGGAATAATGGTTAAATCACCAATGATTAGCAGCTGATTCGTGGACTGGTTGGAAGTATAGTCCTGACTAATTCTAATCAGGTGATCCGAGTTCAAATCTCAGTGAGCGTTTTTCACTTTTTACCTTTTAAATACCTTAAGTGATAAAGGAACATTTCTCACAAGATGTAAAGCCTATCTTGGGTTTGTGTTGTGGAGAGCAAGTCATTAGATATGCATGTAATGGACCAATCAGAAGATGGGAAAGGGAGGTTGTTAGGGGGAAAAAAGATTCGCTGCCAGGGCTATAACCTGATCATCTTACCTTGGTATGTACAGAATTTCTGTGGTTCACAAACCCCGCCAGCAGATTCAGTGCAATCACCGTTCGTATCACAAACTGGATAAATGCAATGACGATGTCATTTTTTTAAAATCAAGAGCAATGCTAAAGTTGGGGAAAGAGTTGGTAAACATGCAAAAGTTGGTGTAAAATGAACACACGCAAGGTTTAGTATTGTAATGCACGTTTAGCAAATTTTGCGGAATCCTTGATTTTCAATTTTCTGAAATGAGTTTTTTCAATGACAAAACCGACCGGTACCGGGGATGTTTGTAGCAGCTCTATGTCATCCCAATTTGATTTGATTCAGATAAAAATCAACAATAAAATACACTAATAAACACAACAGTACAAAGATCAGGAAACAAAGGGGACAGTTGCACTACATAGTTCCGAGTTCCGCACACGCAAATAAGATATCTAATAGTATACAATGAATAAGCTTCAGACAGTAATTATTCTTAAACATGTAAAACCAAAAAACTCAAGCACCCAATATATATCTGTTTTGATATGAGCCCCACCACATGTAAAGTAAGTTTAAAAAAATTAAATCTTTATTTTGAAGGGCGATATCTATATTTTAACATTTAACTGAGAGTCTGTTTCTGACTTAAATGTACAGTCCATCATTTGCAGCCATCCAAAAAGTGCCTGACATAATTATTGTTGAAAAGCATACTTGGTTTAAAGATAGTAATGGCAGCGCGCGCAAGCATTGCCACGATACACACATCGGTTTCAAACATCACGTAGCTGCAATCGGCTCAGTGAGAAGGTGTCTCGGACGCTGAATTCAGGCCCAATTTAAAACATGACTCAGCAACTTTTGATTTGAAATCCAGATCCCAGAATATTGTTTTCTCGGAATATACAGCATTCACTGAGCTGAACCTTCATCAGGTTAGTTGTTCAGCACCCTTCTTTAGATTTTGAGCACTTTTGTTGCTTCAAACGAACAAAATGCACAAATTACAAATGATAGACGCTGCCTTTATACATCATGCGTACCTGTATGCTTTGGCGGAGGGAAACAGGAAAAGAGAAAAAAGAGAAAAAAAAAGACTGGAATGGCAAAACAAAGTTTGAACAAAGACAAAACACTGAGAGATAAGCTTCTCCTACCAAGGCACCCAAGGAGTGCGAAACGCAGTCCGACATAATAGGGATCGCAGGGTTTGGAGATGAGCAGCTTCACTCGGTTGGCTTTGATGGGCGTCGGGAAACTATTGATCATTTTGGTGTCCAGTCTGGCTCCGGCTTTGAAGAGCTGCATTGGAAAACAGGGTGGCACAATTAGAACATTAACGAGGAACACAGGATCATTAAAACCATATCATCTTTCATACTCCATTTTACAGTCAGTTAACTTCCGCAAGTACAAACTTGGCCGGACCTAGCCAAAACATATGTTATACATGTACAGTGAAACGCCACAATAACGAACATCACAGGATCCACAGAATTGTTCGCAATTACGATTGTTCGGTATAGCAATTTAAGCTGCCGGTGCTCCGGTACTCACTTTCAACAAAAAGCGCCCTTCAGAACTTCACCATGCACTATTGAATTATGTGATCTCACAGTTTTTGAGGTTACTTCCTGCAACAATGGGTGGCTTTCTCCGTCTATTCCTTGGGAAAATACCGTAATAGCAACTTGTCGCTCTTCTGTTAAAATTTTCCAACAAAAACGTTCGGTATGCTTTGTAAATTGTACACAAAAATCCGAGGCCAACAACGATGTTCGGTATAGCCGAATGTTTGGTGAAACAGTGTGCAGTATAGCAACGCTCAACTGTATCTGAATTTTGAATTAAGTGGAGTGCCGGTGCGATTCATTGTGCTCATGCATGCACGGTCGGGACTAGGATTTTTGTTTGCTATAACCAAATTTTTGTAAAAGGGCCTGTCACATTATATGCGATCTCATAGGAGACCTTACGGCGACCAAAAATATTTCATAAATTTAACAATTGCAGCGAGGACGCAAGAAAATGACAACTTTCTGTCTCAAAGAAGCTCAAGCTACGCTCATACTGTGCCCTTCCCGCGCTTACGATGCGCTCAACTCGCTCTCTATGCGCCCCTGTCAAGCTCAATTACTCGATCTAGTCGCTGCCGCTGCGCTGTCACTGTGCTCACACTACGCTCTGCTCTGCTCGACCAAAATACGCTCATGTGACATCACTTGTGCTGTATAAATACCAAGACAAAACGGTCATTACACAGTCCAGTTTCAAAATTATTCTACAAGTTCATCGCAGTCACTCTACTTTCTCATGGAGACTACATCGACTGCCTTGCGCCTATAGGCTGCCTCAATGCCACTTCAATGTCGCACGATTCACGCTCGCACAGCGCCCGAGATGCGTCATTACGGCGTCCTGGCAAGGGCGCAGAGGTGTTGCGATTGTTTTGAGCATGTTCAAAGACCTTGGCGCTCATCGGAGACCATTAAGACCCTCTGGCGCCCATCTAGCGACCTATGTAGTTGTTGCTGCGATCTAGTAGTTGTTTTTGCACCCCAGCTATTTTTCAAGGACGCAGTGAGAGCGCATATTAGATCGAAGACAGTGTGACAGGGCCTTAACATGCGTCAACTGTAGTATTAAAAGAAACAATTATTTTACATGTATTCCTATCCTATATTCTTTTGAAATACTGTCGCATGTGGATTATGTTGAGGTTTTTTGGCCAGACAAAATCTTTTGGGGCATGCTCTGGGACCTTCCGAAAAGAAGCCTTCTTTCTAACAAATTGATAATCGATTTATCAAATGAAAAATGTAACCAAATAACTCTCAATTCAATCAATTATTAATTTTATAATTGCTGTGGGTCAATAACAATATTCATGCATTCTCTACTGCCAATCATCTTCCCATTCCCCATCATCATCAGCCGTTTCTAATACCTGAATTCTCTAAGATCTTTCAAAATTCACAAGGAGGGTTTTTTTGGATGGAATTCCCGTAAGGCCAAAAAAAAAAGTCTCCGGTTTCTGGTATGGAGCTTGCCCAAAAAGTGGTGCGGCGACGCGGCTTTTTTTTTTTTTTTACCTGATTTTTTTGCTTAAAATGTTGGCTGATGACTGCAAATGGTGCCCGACTAAACTTAGTGCAAATATATGGGAGTCCAGAGAGGCCACATAAAGCTTATTCTAGACCATAACCCATATCTAAAAACACGTTAAAATTGTGCAGCAGCAGGATTCCAGTCAAACCAGTGAGTTTGGCGGTTTTTAGACATCATCTTTCATTGAAAAAAAACTTTTTCTTTTTGCCGACGCGCATGGCTACGGCGACGCGCGCGCATACCAGAAACCGGAGACTTTTTTGGGGGGGGGCCTAATTCTGGTAACTCAATGGGGGGTGGGGTGCCCTCTGCTTCACATAATCCAATACTGCACAAGCCTCAGACAGGCTCCAATTAAAGATGCATAAGGAGTTTCGGTTCAAGATCAATTTTGACTTTATTGAAGGTTTACCATATTGCTGCCAAAGATTTGTGTGCTCGAGTCTGATGCTTCGTACTCAACCATAAACTCATCGACTCGACGTTCCGGGTTCACAGCTACACCCTGGGTCATTATTCCAGATATAATGGTGTCCTCGGTCAGTTCCACCTGTGTGAAGAAGATCCAAATACATTCATAGAAGTCAGGTACAAAAATTGAAATCTCATGCAAACAATTGTCCATACAAATGTGTTCGAAATACGACATAGCCGATACGCGTTAGGTAAGTTGGCGCTCTAATTGCCGATGCACGTGGATGGTCTGTGGGAAATGATGTCAGTTGAACGAGACCTAAGAGTTTGGGATACTTTCTCTTGTTCCTCCCCTACAATGCTTTGTGGTAAATATTATTTTATCATGTACCTATACACATGTATATAAATATATTTATTGTTATTAACATTTGTTTGTAATTTTTTTATTGGAATGACTTTAATTTTTTTTATTACTTAGTGTGTAATTTGTTGTGATTTACCTTTCTGATGTGTTTTTCACACGGTGTAATTCTCTGTAATTTTAATATATAACGATATTTAATGTGTGTAAATTAAACAGCAATTCGGTCTTTTGGCCGTGAAAGTTTTAATAAAATAAAATATTAAAATGATAATAATTTCTATGGCATTCCAGCTGCAGAAGATGCAAATGAAAAAACTATTGTTAGGTATTCTTTGTGTGTCAAAATCTGGCTTTTCAAGTTGTGTTTTATTTGTTTTGCCCTTTGTTCTCAGACCAAGCTACTGTGTTTAAAAGAAACAATTTCTTTTGTTCTGTATTCTGTTGTTTATGTTAGAAAACTATCTTGGTCTGGAACCAAGGGTTTTGTGGAGGTACACAGGCCTTTGCAGCTTGCAAGCAAGAGAAACCTAAGACTTTTGCACTTTAAGAGTTGGTAAGAAAACCCTGAAACAACATTCCCTGGAAAACCAGTTTTCAGGCAGGAACTGAAAACCCAATGGTTTTATCAGCCCAGGTGAGATGTGAACCCAGGTTTTTAAAGTGAAAAGTTTGGAACTTACAACATTGTCATGCTTAATTCCAATCTCACATAGGGAAACAAATTCTTTCTTTCTAAAACTTTACAAATTTCAATCTTTATTTCTGAAAACCCTGTAAATGATTGAGTCTCAAAGCCAGAGATGTAGACCTACCTGAATCCACATGTTTGTGTCGTCCAGGTCAGGGCCCCAACCGCCCTCCACGCTGGTGTTGAAGTTGAAGGAGTCAATTGCAGTCTGATCCGGCCCAAAACCAAGGGCAAAGTACGAGGAGGCGGTGTAGTTAGCAATGGTAACGTTATCGCTGCTTCGACAAAACTTTGCCACTTTGTCCTCTGGGTATAATGAAAGAAAATGTCATACAATTTTCTAAAATGTCTTTTCTTGTCAAACCTTAGAATGTTTTACTATCCACGATCATGGAAAGCAGTCTGTTGGATTCATGAATTACAGGCACAAATCTACTGCGCTTGACCAGAAGTACATAAGAAAAAGTTGTTTTATCACAAAACACACATCTGCAATTTGGATTGCACATTTCTGTTTTATTTCATAATTATATATGGGACACAAAACTTGCAATGATAATGAACATTAATATTTGAAGATGAACACTCTTCAAAAAATGAACAAGTCAAAAGGCACTCAAGATTGGGAATTTGATGTTTGTAAAGATCAGTTGGGCAAAACACGAGCAATATTAAATTACTAGAGCGCTGACTCGATGTACAAAGTGATATCTGCTGGCCCCATCCATGTTTGTGCACAAACCTATGGAAAACTGGAATTTTTTTACGGCTTTTGTATTGCTATTTGCATATCTGCGTTTGTATTCTATATACATTGTAGGTGCATTATTAAAGCCGATATGCCCAAGACTACATGTACAATGCACAATCAGTAAATGAACGTTTCATTTTGCTCTGCAAACGTCATGACGCACTGAAATCGTTTGCGTATATTGCAAAAAAAGAGGCCTTTCTTTTCAATAAAGGGAGCTATCAAATTCTGCCAAAGGAAAAACCACAAAATTAGTTGCCATTGATTGTTCTTTGAGTCTTTGGTCTTGTGTGTGTGAAGGTTTAATGAGAGCTGGGCCACAGATGGTCAATAATAATACAAAAGATTTCATTAACGTTTTGACTGCCCAGACAGCACCAGAACCAAACTTTGAGAAAATTGTTTGTGCAGATTGCTGATTTTTTTTTCAAATCGCGATTTCGTCTCCATTTCTCCCCAAAAATTGAAAAATATATAACTGATGTAAAAGCTCAGTTATTACATGTAAATACCCCCACTGTGTCAACATTTTCATAAAGGTACATTAAATGAAGGAGATTTGATATTACTGAACAGATTCGTCAATTTGTCAAAACAAAACTTTAGAGCACGAATACATTGGCAATGTGTTTGTACACAGAAAAAAATCTTGCTATCCTTTACGACTGAGGACTTGGGACAATGGAGGATTAGTGATAACAATAACTCCGAGGACCTGAGCAAAGTCCTCGGGAGGATTTCATGTACAAACCGTATGGGAAATGTTGGGAAAAAGTACAAAAGTTAGAGGAACAAAAGAAGGGAAGAGTAGGAGTTCCTAATAAGAATAGGATTTCATGTACAAACCGTATGGGAAATGTTGGGAAAAAGTACAAAAGTTAGAGGAACAAAAGAAGGGAAGAGTAGGAGTTCCTAATAAGAATAGGATAACACGATTAATGAAATGCATTCAGGGAACTCGACAAAAATGGCCAACTCGTGAATAAGGCCCATGACATGTGATCGATGATGGACCAATAAAAATTCACAATCTATTACTGTGGTATAACAACATAAAATGTAAGGATATCGGGAAAAAAACAAAAATTCCTTCATGTAAAAAACTGACAATCGTTTCAAAGTTGTTTATACTCAGTGTACCTACCCAGTGTAGAATTGGTTTTGGACAGGCTGGCACCAGCCTCTGATGTGTTCTGCGTTTCCACCCAGCAGGCGCTGTCCAGACAGTCCCACTCCACGTCACACAAGCAGTCCTTGGGCGTCTCACCCTCAATCTCTAAAGCTAAAGACCAAGAAAATCATTCCATAAATTCCAGACGTAAGAGAACAATTTCACTGCCCATGCTTTTCAACGTTTTCGGGGGATTTTTTTCAATTTGAATAAGGGAATAAATGTGTGCTTCGGAGGTTTTTATCACTCTGTTTAAGACCACTTAGAGTCTGGGTGCTGATAATTACCCGAGGGTAATTATCAGCACCCATACTCTAAGTGGTCTTAAACAGAGTGATAAATACCGACAGAGCACATATTTATTCCCATTCATAAATACCTTTTCGGTAAGAAAAAATCATATAATTCGTTCAAAACATCCTGATTTTGTTCAACAAATTCACTTTATGCTTTTTGAAACATCCCTCTTGCAAAATAATGGAGTGTTCAGCTGGCGAGTAAGATGTAAACAACCCTTTTATGGAGATTGACTCGCGCGTATCATGTTCTGCGCGATGTCGCGCAGAACGCACCTGGCGCGTTGCGTTTTGAATTTAGAACTTTAAAATTCTGACTCCCTGGTAGTGTTGCGCATGCCTACGCGAGGATTGTGAGCGTTCAACCAATGAAACGATAAGAGGCACTGGATTCTTAGGAGTCCACATTTTATTGTGACACTGGAAAAGTGTTTAAGACCAGCTAGCCATGTCTTTATCATCCGTTTAAGACCGGCCACGTGACGGGCTCTCAACCAATAGGAATGCGTAAACTGTCTTAGGTATTTATGAATGTTTTATTTAAAGGGAATATACAACATCCTGTAAAAACACGGCACCTGGTGTGCTCACATTTTCAAGAAAAGTGGTATTTTTATAGAAATTTCCAACGCTGGTCAGCCGACCAGCATTGGACAAAACTGGCTGTTTTCAAATACGGCTCCCAATTTATCATATTTCGTTTAGTCCACATTTTCTTTGCAATGGATCACACACCTGTGAAAGGGTACAAGCCAGCTAGTCTGATTCCCCGACCTTACAATTCCCCAACATCTATAAATTGCTCCATTTCATCTTAAGCGGGGTCAGAGAACCAGACTACAAGAACATGATTCTTCATGTTTTCTTGGTTTTTCCAGCATCTATGAACCCAAAACGTCAAACAAGTCAGTGTAACAATATTTGCTATAAAATACCAACCCCCGAAATCCATCCTTTTCTGAGAATTACAACAAAAGCAAATGTTGTACATTCCCTTTAAACGAAAAAAAACCTGCTGTTGTTCTATTTGGGCATCTCAACTTGATGAAAATATGCTTTGATAGTGAGATGTCATTGCGCCAATAAAGCAAAACAACAGAAATTTGATTGATAAGATTGATTAAAAGTTGATTATTGTCAGGCCACAATTAATACCAAATTTGTAAAGTAACCGTTCCATAAACTAAACATGGGCCTGTTATTTATTTGATTTTATCTCATTCATTTTGGGGGTGAAACTAAAATTTTACATTTTTCTTAATAAGGGTACAAAAGCACCCTTTTTTTAAAAATAAGTTGCATCAGAGGCCATCATCTAGTGTCAGTACTAATTGATTTGATTCAACTTTGATAACATCTCTGGTGGGTGAATAAAAGGAAATTGAGCAGGGAAAAAAAAAAAGCATTTCCTCTTGCAACCTCACCCCCCACTTCCGGTATCGCCGGATTTCTTGTCTTGTAAATGGTTAAGGCCACCGTACACTGTATGCTTCGACAGCGATCCGACAGATTTTTCAGTCGGAAGTCACGGCATGTGGTGAATCACGATTGCAATTTTCTGTGTCGTGGACTCAATGCCAACTCAGTTGTGAAGATTAAACAGTCAAATAGTTTACGACTCGAATCGCCAATCAGTAATTTGAGAGGTATTGTTAGCGTACAGCGAAAAGCAAAGTGCACGTCGTGGTGCGTAGGGTGTGCAGCATGCTGCGACCCAATGGCAATCAGTTGCTAGTCAGGATCGCAATAGGATATTAGTGGGATTGCTGTGGTCCAATGGTTACGGGTTCGACTCACTTGCCGTGGTACATGGGTTCATACCCTGATGGGGAACATGGTTCCTTTCTGTTCTTGGGCAAGACACTTTACTACAATTGCCTCTCTCCACCCAGGAGTATAAATGGGTACCTGTGAAGGTAGAGACCAGAATGCTCTGATCTCGAGCCGCTGCAAAAACTGGTCTCATGGCCTGATGAACAGGGGTAATTATTGCGAAGCGCTTTGAAACTTTTGGTATAAAGCTTTTCACATTTCGTATACAAGCACTACATTATTATTATTACAACGTATAGCGTGCGGCGGCCCTTATTGGTCAACCTACTGCCATCAGTGTCGACACCGTTGATGACGTTGACAGTGACTTGGTACCACTCCGGCCACTTGGGGTCCCCGTCCACCGTGCAGCTGTTGGTGGGCTCGGCTACAAACATCTGGGAGGGAAACTTGTAGCCGGCTTGCTTCAAGGTGCTCCAGGATCCCGCGTAAGTAGACTGGTTCGAGGGAGCACACAAAGGGGTTAACACTTTAAATACCTATAAATAACCTTTTTAGTTCTTGTACTGCCCCAAATTGCCCTACCTGTTACTGCCCGAAAACTGCCTTGTCGCTGTGTGGCCTACAATTCATACAATTCATTAAGTCGTACTTACCATGTAATTCAGTGTAATATAAGTGTTAAAGAGTTAATTTGGGAGACATCTGCAGACACCATACTAGGCTGGATATACAAACATGTACGCACTCTCCCATGTGACCGAGTCTAGTCATTTAAGTGCTTTAGTCTCTATCCACAAACTTGACACATGGTATGTCATACTACTGATGATACTAGCATATTTTAAATGCTTCATTTATAAACTCCCATTTGACAGAGTCAAATTTTCATCTTTCTGAACAACTTGTCCACGTTGCCATTTAATTTAAAAATCGCAGAGGAAATCAAAAAAATCAAAGAGGAAATCACTACATTGCAACCTTTGAAAATTAGTTTTCCAATTCCACCAGTGCAGATGTCTTTTTTCCCTTTGCATTTTGTCTAGTGAAAATTCTCTTGATCTCTTAACGTTTTTGAGGAACTAGCCCTGTTACAGATCAGTAAATGTTTAACTGAAGAGACCCTGACAATGTGAAGTGACTTCCTTATTCCAGACTGGTGTGCGAGAGACGAACCAGACCATAATATCAGAAATGGCTCTAGTTAACCCAATTAGATTTTGGTTTCAGACCAGTGAACTTCATTTTCCATTGAATATATTCTACCGACGTCCTGAGTGACTGCAACAGGCCGTCGTTTGAGTTACTCCAAACTGATTGAATCATCAGACGTTTCAAGAACTTGTTCCTCAGCCCAAAGTCATGGTACTGCTTAAGCACACAATTTTTTGCTATCAGAGCCTCCGGTCCGTCTATAAGAACAGCAAAGGCACGTAAGAACAGCAAAGGCACGCTTACCTCAGAGGAAAAATTTGCCTAACCCTTACCTCCCCAACTCCATCAAAATACATCCCCCCCCCCCCCCCCCCACGTTTGGTGGATTTGGTGGACTTGGTCCTTCAGGCTTGGTTTGAAAATATTGATGGAGTATGATAGACTTGGGCCTGGAGGCCTAAAGCAAAGCATGCATTGGAAGCAGACATAACAATGGAAATCTCAATTTTCGCGTGACTACTGACACATCCAAGCCATGAAACAGTGCTTAGGCTGAATAAAAAAAAAATGTTTCTCGTCCGGGGGTTTGAAAAAAAGCAGGAATAGGGATTTTTTATTTTTTTTTTTTTTTCAAGATGGCCGCCATTTTAAAATTTCCTGCAACCGTTGGTGTTTCCACTGTTCAAAGACCTTCGTCAAACTCCCCACTCACAAATGCTGCGAAAAGATCACCAAGTGTCGTCTTGCCATCAAGTACTGTCCGTGCATACCACGGTTTTATAACTTTAATTTTGGTTCGTGTGGAAATGCAAACGAAAACCATTGTGATCAAACAAAACAAAACGAAGATTCGGGCTTTAATTTCTTGTTGATGAATGCATGGAATTAGTACACTGAGTGACAGAAAACATCAGCCGCGCGAGCGAATTCTTTAAACACATACTCCAGTGTGAGCTAGTCTCATACCGGTCGCATTCTGGCTTCGAAGTCAGCATTTACCGTATACAGTACGTGCAGACAGATTCCGGTAAAAATTTTAAACAACTGTAGTCTAAAACTATCAATAGAAATACTCAAGTGGGTGAACTCGCCATGCTCGCAGGGGTATAGACTCTCACGAAGACGTGTTTAGCGATCGCGCGTCGATTTATGTGGTATACAAAGTGACCGACAGAGTTTATCGGTATACTGAAACTTCGACTCACATATTTCACAAGTATTTATTTTCCGATGAATTTGTGGACTTTTTCTGGGTTTTTTTTACTGCATTTTTCAAAAATAACAAATAATTAAAAAATCTAGGCGGCCTCCAAAAAGGAAGTGGGCGGGGACAAGAAACATGTTGTTTTTTTTACTTCGCCTTACGGTTAGCACAAAGTTCTGCTATTGTAAGCACAGATTTTCTGCTAACTGTTACGCAGGGCCATGAATTCGCCTCTTTAGAAATGATTTGGTTTTGTATGACACTAGCGCAGGTCAGAAATGGGTGTTGCTCTAAAAAAGAAGTTTCCAATAACCAGAGTTAAACCCTCAACATGTTGCTTAGGATGCTCTAACCATCACCAGATGGCATCTTCTTGCTTACCTTGATGATCGCTGGCTGAGTTGCATTTCCCTCAGTGACGAACGTGTCCAGCCATTGTGCCGAGTAAGGGACGCCATCCAGCTCAATGCTGGAGTTGCGCACGTTGATCCAACCGGCCACCTAAAGAGAGTATCATTTTTTATTTAAATGAAAAAAAAAAAAACGATGAGCAGTGTCATTATTGAAGTCAAAATCCAGTAATGAAGTCCCGCATCTCTATACAGGACCTCTGCCAGAGAGTGGAATTAGACATAAGAAGACTCGATACAAAACTGGCCAAGCACAGCCACTTTCGAGCTGACACAGGCACTCAGAAACAAATGCACTCATAGTACAATACTCCAGTTGTGTTCTTTAGCATTAATCCCACCACTAGCAAATGGTCAGTACATATCAATTGTCCAACTATAATTTGGAAACAATCCTCGTGCAGTTTAGGTAGTTGCGTACAAACACTATGGAAGAGTCAGGAAAAGTGGAAATGTTCCTTAATCCCAAATTAATTTTGACCTTTTCGACAACTTTACATATGGTGAAACCAGTGGTGTCAAGATACTGCACTCTACCCCTGTTATTTCACCCTCAGCCCACGGGTGGGCAGTGTGTAAGAGCAAAGGGCAGCCATACCTCTACATCACCCCCACAGGTGCCCAGGTGAACGCAACACCTGGTGTTGAGAGGGTCCTGAGTAGGTGCTGCCGTAGGGGAATCTGTGTCAGTTCCATTGCAGGACCAGCGCACACTGTGACAACTTATCTCAGGCTTGCATTCGTCTTTGCCGGAACAACTTTTGCCTGATTGAACAAATAAAGCACAAGTCTCAATAAAAAATCCATTTTCTCTTTCGCTCCAATAGAAAATAATTATCAGGGCAAACATCAGGGTGACCGTAAGGTCATGACTAAATTCTGCTAAATGCACTTCAAATATCTGTCAGATTCCCCAGAATTACTCGAAATACAGTATGAACACTTTAAATCACATGCAGATGTTGTAATATTGCCTTAACCCTAACCCACCTCACTCCTCCAAAATCCTCCTGGCGGTTTTGGAGGATTCTAGAGGATTGAGGATGAATGGTGATTGAATCAAATGAGGATTCTGGAGGATTGAGGATGAATGGTGATTGAAGCACATGAGGATTTTGGAGGATTGAGGGTGAATGGTGATTGAAGCACAAGAGGATTTTGGAGGATTGAGGATGAATGCATTTTGAGGCAGGACTGTCTGATGATTTTGAAGGATTTGGCGTTGGTTATCCTTCATTTAAACACGAGTGCAAAGTTTTGGGATGAGGAGGATTTTGGAGGATTGAGGATGAATGCATTTTGAGGCAGGACTGTCTGACTATTTTGAAAAATTTAGGCGGAGTTGCAAAATTTTGGAAAATTTTGGAGGATTTTGGAGGATTGAGGATGGTTGTAAGCAACAAGGGCCTAGGGGGTTAGGGTTAATTAATGTTCAAATTACATTATAAACAATCTATAGCCACATAAACATAATATGAAATTGCGTAAATTTCAGGCAAAAAAGTGAACCTCAGTACCTAGACCAGACAACCTGTCCTATTTTGCAAGGGTGTTTGAAAAGATTTAAGCTTTTGTGAACAAATATACCATTTTTGTTGCAAATTTGCTGTTTTTCTTTCAAATAACCATTTTTTGAAGAATTTTGCCAGAAATCTGCCCAAAAATCCATTCTGTCAAATTTTCTGTCAAATTCGTTTTTTTAACAAAAAATCTGTCAAAGTTAGTTGAAAATCGGCTAAAACGGTCACTATGGCAAATATGCTTCGCTCGCCGACATATTAACAAATGGAAATCTCGTGCAGCTCGGAGTTGCAATTTTGTTGTTGACAGAAAGTGGGTGCTTAACCCGTGTGTAGTTTACATAATGTGCACGTGCAAGTGGGAGTGCGACCACACCCCGCGCTACGCTCAGTTGTCACAACTGTGAGTTTCTACGCTCTTGACTTGAATGGGAGCCAGCAAAATGTGTTAAAATGCCCCGATGACTGCAATATCAAAAACAATCTTGTAGTCATCCGGGTATTTTTTTCCAAAAGCATACAATACGCCAATTTATTGTTACCACTTGGAAGCCTGATATAAATAATAATACTAAGTATTCCTTTCTGTGCAACACGATGTTCACTTTGACATCGGCACTCACCATGAATACTCCAGACCAGTGCTCCAATCAGCCCGACCTTGGACAAAGACAAAAGGGGAAGACATTATTGCACTCAAACATGTATCATTAATTTCTTTTTCCTTCTTAATAAGTTCTTTCTTCGTACAATACCCACAAAAATCTGTTTCACTCTAGTTAATAAAAAAATAATTAAATTGAAAATTGAAAACAAATTGAAAAATTGATAATTACATCTTTCCTGAAACCTTGATAAAGATTATAGTTGAACATCCTATTAATCCCAGTCTGAAAATTTGGGACTCTCAACACTGCTTATGAGAGTCACACAACTTAACAGTGAAAACATGCAGAACAAGAAAATAGACTGGCGCCTGAAACAACCAGTCCAACACCACTTTAGTACCGCATCAATCAACTGTGTCAAAAGAAACATCTGGTACCTAGTCTCTATTTCTACACATTCTCTCCATAGCCATGCCACCAGACTACTGAATGGTCAATCGGCTTCGGTTTTGCCTCCGACTTCTGAATCACTGAGAGGCAAACTAAACAAAACCATTCCAACTTTTGGCTTCATATCAACCGATTGAATGTTCCTGAAGCAGGCACCAAAATGTAGCTGGAGTTCCAGAAGTTGGGGGCCTAAAATCTCCTTAAGCCGGAGACGAAGCCAAAGTCGGTCGTTTCGAAATCGCTTTGCATTGGGTGCAAATTGTTGAAGAAAGTTCTCCTTTAAAAAATTGAAATGAGACCACAAACTTGGCTGGTGAAATACTGAGTACCTTTTCTTTGCATCTTGAAAATTATGGAGACTTTTGTCGGCTAAAGGGTGAGTAAAGTTGACCTGATTTTGTTTCACATGTTTTTCTGCACTCAAGGTCCCAGTTTGCCTTATAATCATGTCCCTACCGGCTCCTTAAAAAAATCAAAATCAACAAGGAGGTTTTGCAAGATTTAAACTTGGGTAGCAGCCGGAAAGGTGTGTGTGGCATCGCTCCTAAACACATCAGACGAGTGGTCGCATCACAGAAGGAGAAATACAAACAAGACAATGACCCAGTCTCCATCCTCTCTTTGAGCATGAACCAGCCAAAAAGAGACTTAAATCAAGACACAGCTTCCTCCACTCTGTGGAACCCCTTGATGGCAGCGCTCATAACCGAACGAAGGCCCTGTGGTCCAATCATCTTCAGGCAATGCCACACAAGCTTCCCTTCAGTCCCAATGAATCTCTACCATCTGGTTCGAGTGAGGCATGGCCCATCTGGACATGTCTAAATCACCTCAGGACAGGAACTGGACGATACAAAGTTCTTATGCAGAAATGGGGATATAATGAGGAACGGATAAACTGTGTGCGACTATGGGAAGGAACAGACAATGGAACACCTGCTGGTCTGCCCCACCTGCCATAACCCTGTACCGGTACTCATGAAGATCTGGAAGGGTTCAACCCCCAGGCTAGATCGATCTTGCGTCCTGCACTGGACGGATATAGTGACCGAGAAGAAGAAGCCGGAAAGTTACAACCTTAACACTGAGAGTGTATTAGACTGCTCCATCGTGTCCATAAGCATTCAAAAATCTTCTAGAGAATTGTACATTATCATTATGAATTAATAATATCAGTTTGAATAAATTTTTTTAAATAAACTTGCAGAACAGTCTTCAATGTACGGCTTGAAACAATACTATTCTACACATTGTCACAGAGATGTGGGGCCTGGGAAATGAAGGGGCATGTATATGGGCTCCATTTATAGTTGGGCTACCCCACCATTAGCTAATACTAACTTAAATCCGTAAACATGGAGGTATATACACTGCCATGTTTCGGAAGGTCATCAAGGCATTCAATTTGTCACTTTTGCATCCGCTACATTTTATGAGCCAAAATTGCACAGGTCTGCATGTTATAGGCACTCACGTGAGTTTTTCCACGAATTGCCATTTGCATAGGACCTGTAATTCAGAAATTAGATGAAAATTGGAGCAGGAATTGAAAAATTTCTGGATACACAGAAAATTTTACAACCTGCGTGTGAGGAAATCTAACTGTCAGGACTGTTTTTTCCACTTGACAATGATATAGGAAGATGCTTGCCACCAGTGGTGGCGGAATAGTTTTGCAAGTGGTGTAGCAGGACATTCCATGTCACTACATTGTCGTATTGAGTTCACCATACATTGTATACTGAGAGGTGCATTGTGGGTAAACTATTTATAGATTGTCTCTCTTGTGCATGCCTTCGGCCATGTTGGCCATGTTGGCCATGCTTCTGTCTCGTCATGTAGATACTTGTAAATAAATCAATCAAGATGTAGTCCAGAGTCTGCAAGGAACAATTAATCCTTTTCCCCCTTCCATCCGAACCTGGTAATGATCTTCGGACCGTTACAGTGGGGGGCCAAAAAGCACTGCTGGTGCCGGCCGGCCGTTACAAATGCAAAAAGGGGGGGGGGGTGCTGAAACTCATTCGTAGTGGGTGCCCTTTTCTTTGTTTTTCTTTTCGATTAAGTGTTAAACCCTGCCCCCCCCCCCCCCACCCCAAGGGCATCAATTGCTTCTCAAAAGTGGGGGGGGGGACCTTGATCAGCACTACTGCGAGTGTGAACTTGAAGCATGAAGCCTTAACGGCATGGCGTTCAGCATTGTTCAGGGCCCGTTTAACTTGACTTTAAGGCCCCCGAAAATTTTTGGACTCAAGCCGCTCTGCTGTGCGATCCGAGGCAATTTCTGACCACTGAAACCAATTTCTTTGAGCAAAAGATCATATTTTAAACATCATTTTCGAGTATGGAGTCATTGAACTTTGAAGGTCAGGGGTCATCACCTTTAAGCTATTATTTTTTCCTGGGAATAAAGTAGAAAAAGTCCCGATTTTGATTTCCTCATAGGCATAGCCTAGGCAACTTTTACTCACACAAATCCTCAAAAAAATATATGGAGGAAGCCCAGTATTTTAGCCACATTTATGGGGATAATCGTGGACTAATCAACAAGGTACTTGGTGACTGTCATCATGTCATGACTGTTGGGTTGGGAAGTCCTAGTAATAGTATGAATTTGTGCGGGGTGAATCAGTTTGTTCCCATTGTGTTCCTCCATTCTAGTTTCTGAACTCTACAAATCACCTTTTATTTTGTTACGTGGATACTTTCACATTAGCCGCGGCCGGCCCTCGATCTCTCTCATAATCACTGCATCGCCCAGAACGCTCTCTGTCCCGTTTCTGCATACAACGTACGAACATGATGATAGAACAAGGAAGTACAACTCTACAACATACACCAGCAGTACAGGAAAAGTGCTGCACGTTTAAAATTCCCCGGCACGACCACGTGGCACGGTGGTGTATAGTAATATGCGCACTTTATTACATGCCATAACCAGTACCATGCAACAGATGTGCGTCTAGAAGTCTAGTTACTCGTTTCCGCCCTGGGAAAATTCAAAAGAGGTCGCCCTTCCACATTTACGGTACAGAAATATCGTGCCTCGTAGTGTGGTACAGACGTGCGTACGTACGTACATAAGCGTGCGCCAATAGCGTGTTATAATCCGGTTAAAATCGTGATGTTCATGTCACATGACTTTGAGTACGTGTATGCAATAACTAGGGGACTATTGGTTTCAGAAACAGTGTTTTAGTTTTTTTAAATCAACTCCATATACGAGGGGATATTTGTAAAGACTGCATGCAGTGCGCTTTTCTATTCAAATGGCCCTTTTTTCACCAGCGTTTACCCCCCCCCCCCAATATTTTATAAGAGTGCCTTGTTTTTAAACAAGTGCCCTTTAAAAAAAAAAAAAAAAAACAAGGGCTTTTTTTTTACCAGCGGCCGTTTACGGGTGCCCTTTTTGGAATTTCGCGCGACCGTCGGCCTGAAAAACGATCCGACAGTGCGCATGATCGTATCCGGTTAACAGCGCCCCCATTGGAAACTGGTACCCCCCCCCCCCCCCATGACCTTACTACGCCTCTGATAATTAATTATCTGTAAATGTGCACACAGCTAGCATGCACATTATAATGTAATGTCAATGCCATCGATTGAAGCAAGGCCAGGCCCAACCTCGTCCCCAGTGCTTACTTTATTTCCAACCGCGTTTCCAAACCCTGGATAGGAAACTTTCTTCCTGTATCCTGATTGGATACCGCAATTGGCTAGTAATGGATTTTTATCGTGTACTTGGTGCCATATATTCACAACGTGCAGTACGTGTTTTCGCGATCATTCGTCCACGCCTTCTCGAAAATACTAATTTCCTTTCCAATTTGCTCATATTAATATGAAATATGATACTGCATGTTGTCTCGATAAGATCGTAACAGTTTGATTTCAAAAATCGTGTTTTCGTAACTCACGCCGTGCTCGCGCTGCTACGAATTGACTCTGTTTTTACCCCAGACACCGCATACAAAAACAAACGCTAATGTGTAACGCATATCCAGGCACCAGACTGTTCCTCATTTGCATACGTGTGCAAAAATCTTGCACATGCAAATGATCGAATACCAGGGTGAGAGAGCAGGTAGTGGTGGGCGCGTACTGCTCGACACCCTGGGGACGAGGTTGGGCCAGGCCTAAATTAAGACCCTAGTCGCAAAGGAAATATCATACTTCAAAGGTTATAATTATCGTTCAAAAATGCCCCAATTTCCATTAATCTGAAACAGAATTGGGGAAAAAAATTGCCAAAATAATGAAATTATCGTCTCAAGTTCTTCACACTACTGGAAGACAAAAATAGTCGCAAAATCGAGAGTTGCTTTACTTCAAATTCACTGAAGCAGTGGCGTGACTATATGAAGGGGGCACGGGGGAACGTCCCCCCCCCCCCCCCCCCCAGCAGTGGTGTTTATCATTTACATTCGCCCTCATTCTTCCATCTTCCTTTCCCCTTCCTTCTCCATTCTTCATTTTCTGTTTTGCCGACAGCACCATGATTTTGCCGACAAAACTGACTAATGGGAGGTGTGACCCCCCCCCCACACACACACACACACACCCACACACACCCACCCCTGTTACTTTTTCATACCATAATGA